AAGAACAACGGGATGCGTCGGTTGCGATATTTCAAATGATGTCTACATAATGAGTAGTAAGATTTCAAGTGGTCTCTACATCAGGAGGAGTATCTTTAATGATAAATATCGTACTTTTTTTTTCTTCACTAAAATTTTTGTTCCAATGAATTTTTTTATAGCAATGTTTTTAGAAAGTGTATTCATTGTAATTAAATGAGACATAAGAGAGAGTGTTATATATAATAGGTGTCATTTCTTCGTGTTGTCAAGTCATCTAATTTGATGACTAATTGTTGTGAATTGGTCTATAAATAGACCTAAATATTGTAATAAAATTTGGATAAATTTACTTTGATGTACTCTATCTGCCTCTCAATCAATTACACTAACACACATACATTACGTACTTATATATTTAATATTTATTTATTCATCTATATCTATATACATAGATATATATATCTTATTTTGTTATATATTTTACTCCCTCCGTTCCACTTATCATATCCATATTGTCATTTATGTCTGTCTCATATCTCATGTCATTTTTTTTTTTTGGAAAATTATTATCCATCTTAATCTTATTTTAAAATTTTAATTTTTCTTTTTTTGGCAACACCATCTTCCCACGGTTCAATCTACTAAGAAGAAGATCTCAAGAACAAATTTAATTTTTAGCAATGGCTGGAGGTTTGTTAATTATCATATTCGCTTCCGCTAACATATTTGATTATATGTTTATTTTCTAACATTTGGTATCAGAGCAGGTTTTTGCCTCTGCTTGCTTTGAATTTTCTTCTTCTCAAATTTTTGATCAAGATTAGCTTTAATTTCTTATTTGAAATATTTTGGTTTCTTATTTTCAACAATTGCTTTGCGATATTTCTTAATCAAGATCCGATCCTGCGATTTGAGAAAATTTCATTCTATTTTCAAGGAAAATTGTGAATTTTATTTTGAAATTAATTTATGCAAAATATTAAATTTTTGAAAAAAATTTCCTGTGTTGTGTTTCTATAGAATGTTCAAATTCTTCTGTAATGTCTTCTGTGCACTTCATATCTGTGTCAACTTGTATACGCAATTAATTACCTTAAGGAAGCCATTCCATATTTAATTTTTGAGATTAATTCATCAGATCAATGGATGTTTAATTAATCATATAATTCACTAGAATAGACTTATTTTTCCAGATTGATCAGTTTGCTAGATGTTGGTGTGAATTTTCATTATAAGTTTTTCTATACATTATATCCGTCTGTCGTTGCGTTTGTATTCGCTTCTTTGCAATCCATGTATATGATTATAGAATCGTGATCAATTTGATATCGTAAGATATCATAATATGTCAATCGAATTTGTGTGCATCTTAGTCAGACATGCATGATATGATTAAATATAAATTCAGGTTGTTAGTCTTCTCACATCCATGTCCCTGCATGCAATCATATATGCATAGGTATATTTGATTTGCAAGTGAAAACAAATATGAATCAATGTATTCATTACTATTTTTAATCTTGAAATAATTTTTGCATAAGAAATTATTTTAATTCAAATGGCAACTTGATCCGAGAGGACATGTGGATTTCATGTTGATGTTTGCACCTTATATGTTGATGTGGACATGTGAATAATCATATCTGTGCATATTATATTTGTTTTATTGTTATTTTTATGAATAATCAGAACTACGGATTTATTCTAATATGTTTTATGATGCAATTAAGTTTGTGAATCAACATGTTATTTTGATCACATGCGTTTGTTCAAATTCGACTATAATTATTTGGTGTATTAATTTATAGTATCTTTGGGTAACATATTTTTGCCTGTGTGATTCCGCTGCATTTAGTATTTTTCGATTGTTTGATTATTTTGACGAGTCGATAATTAATTGTTGTTGTTATAGTTTTAATATGTATTGGACATACATATATGATGTATTTTAAGGTGAATTTAACTAGCAATAAAGAGTATAATGTATTTTATGAATTTGTTTAAACAGTTATGCTGCCACAGCAGCCTATGTTGTGTAAATTTGTTTATTTTATATGTTAGAAAGTTGTGTATGTAATTTATAAGACTTCTGATTGACCCAAAGGCAAGTCAGCGATTAAGTAGTTACATGCATGTTTAGTGACAGTGAATATTGTGATGATAATTTGGTTATTTGTGTGTGAACATAGATTTGTCCAAATATGGAGTATTATTTGACACACTACTTTATCGTCAACTTTCGATTGTCAAAACAAATTTATCATTGGCGAGTCAATAATTTGTCCAAAGACAATTGCTGATGTTGCTCGATAACTTGTAATAAGATTGCTAATTTATTTTATAAATTCACATACAGAGCACTCAATAGCTTATAGAGATGTGTACTTCAGATTGCATATTCATGATGTTTGTGATTTATTTAATTTGGGAACAGCCACAACATCCTCGATTAATTCTTTATTCATGATTTATTTGAAATCACATTAATAGACATCAATTGTAATTATCATGTACAATGTGATGAGATCTACCCACAGGAGTCTTGTTATATTTATATGAGTAATTATGATAAAATATCGAATTGTATTTCTTAATCTACCCACAGGAGTTAAGAAAAGGAACACAATTTAATAGTTTTATTGTTAAGTTTTTGTTTGAATCCAATTGAGTAAAACTTTAGCCCACAGGCAAATTTTATGTCTCTAGATTCATGTTTTAACATGTTTACATTGGTAGAACATGTAATTTACTTGTCTCGTTTATTGATGAGCATGTATATTTAATTTTGGAGTGTTTAATCCTATAAATTTCTCTGACATTAAGTGTGATGTCCTCGAATTGACTGGTGATAATTACGAAATCTGGAAGGAAATGATCCTCCTTCATTCAGGTTGGATGGACATTGATTATGCAAGTCATTCAGTTCTCCACAATGAGATTCACGGGTGTGAGGGGTGTGCGCGAGCACATAATGCGGATGCGAGACATTATCCTACAATACACATAAAGATAAATGGTCTATCAATGAATTGATGATCATGTGTGTTCAAGAAGATGAGAAATTATTGATGGAGGAATGTGAGAAAATTTAGTTTGTAAACTTAATAAATTCATATATGGATTGAAGCAAACCTCCCCAATGGTATTTGAAATTTCATGATGTTATTATCTCTTCATTCGATTTTGAAGAAAACGTCATAGATCACTGTATATACCAGAAGGTTAGTGGGAGTCATATTTGTTTCCTTGTGTTGTACGTAGATGATATTTTGCTTGTAACTAAATGATAAAGGGATGTTATATGAAGTACCTTCAAGGTACAAAAGATTTCATAATCATGTATAGACAAACTGATGTCTTTGAAGTGATTGGCTACTACGCTGGCTGCATTGACACTCGGGTTATGTGTTAATGTTGGCTGGTGGAGCTATCTCTTGGAGAAGTGCAAAGCAGTCTAAATCTGGTACTTCCACTATAGAGACTGAGTTTGTTTCATGTTTCGAGACTAACTCGCATGGTGCATGGTTGAAAAGTTTCATATCTCACCTTAAAAATATAATCAAATAGAATATACTAAAGGTGTGTTTGTTTGAGGAATTTTCCCCCAAATATACTATTCATCCCATTTTTTCTTCCCAAAAATATCAAAACAAACACCTATTTTATATTTTTTATATTATACTAATGTATTTGAATTTAATAAAATATTTTGTCATTTGTGAAAAAAAAATTACAATAATGCTAATTAAAATAATAAAAAAATACGTCTCAATTCAAAAGGATCCAACCCTTATCCAGTGACGGAACCAATTTTCGAATTTCGGGGATTGAGTCGACAAATTGGTTTCAATTTTTTTATAATTTCAACATATTTTGAACCGTACAAAAATTACAAATTTTTTCCTTCGATTCAACATTTTTTGGTGAAAAAATATATATATATATATATATAAATATGACCGTCATGTTATTTTTTCCTAGTTGGACGCTACCTTATTCGATTCTTCTTGATCCAGTAACAACAAGATAAAAAAGAAACTTAAATCGAAAAGGAGAAAAAAAAAAAAATAATAATAATAATAAAATTGTGCGGAACAGTGACTAGAGTAATATTCAAGATAAAGAACTTTGATTTTATTTATACAGACATTTTGTAATTTGTTTTTATATAAACCATTTTGTAATTTGTTTTTACATATATAATAAATATATTAATCAATATTAATATATTATAATCGATTAAAATCTTTCACCCAAACTCAATTATTTCGTATCAGATTATCGTATCAGATCAGTTTTTGTCAGCTTTACTATTCACCAAACATCAAACAACTCATCCCATATTTTTCTTTTAACATACTATACCAAAAATAATATAAAACAAAATAAACTTCCGATTCAAAATCCAAACCTTAAACAACAAGCACTGAAAAAGTATTTAAGTGATGAGCAAATATTGAGAACAAATCATCTTCTAAGTACCCTATGAAGTAACTTCAACCGGGGGGGTGCATACCGAACCGAACTATCAATTTTGATCAGTTTTTTGTTTATAAAGATTGAAACCGAAATCGAATCAAAGTTGTTCAAAACCAAATAAATCGAACCAAACTAGTTCAGTTCGGTTTAAAACCGAATAAACCGAACTTTAATTTATTAATATATATTTTTAATATACAATTAAATATAAATACTCAAAATTATAATATATATTATTTTATTAATATATAATTTCTTATTATTTTAAAAAGTTCAGTTTTTTCGGTTAACCAAAACTAAAAATTAAAAACCAAAACCGAACCGAAACCGAAACCGAAATTTATAAATTCGATTTTGCACCAAACCAAACCAATTAACCGAACAATCCAAACCAAACAGTCCGAACCGAAAAAAAATTCAATTTTTTCGATTTGAACCGACCAATGCTCACCCCCTAACTTCAATACTATTCCTCCTAGTTTCAAATGGCACAGCCAGTTCAGCTGATGTGTAAACATAAGTCATGACAATGGTAACAATCGACTCCAAATATCATTTTGGTTCATTCATCGAAATGCCGTCAAAACCCAAAGTTCAAAGTGATGCCGCAACTTATCCAAACATCTAAAGTTAACGAAGCAAAATATGAAAGAAATTTACCGCAGCCTTCTTGCCTCCCTCTCCGACTCGAGCAGTGTTAGAATGTCACCCTCTCTAACGGGTCCCTTAACATTCCTCATGATAAACCGATTCTGATCATCCACGAACTTGACCCTCACCTGAGTCACTTGCCCCCTCGACCCCGTCCGGCCTATAACCTTCACCACAATGGCATGCTTGATCTGGGAATCCATCCTACAAAAATCGAAACATTCAACACATCAATTTTATCGCACCCGACCATTTTTCATTTAGGACAAGTAATTTATAAATCAATGTATTTTCGAAAAGATAAATCAATATTTTCTACATCAGTATGGAAATCAAATCGGACAATTTGGACTTCATTAAACATTTGTATATCAAAATAGAGAAAGAAGATATAAATCCTTGACGCTTGTATCATTCCACACCAAAAACACAATTTTCCACAAGAAAATACAAATGAAACAAAAACGGAATAGTTTCAACAAATAATAAGCCAAAGCAGTGACAAGTTGAACATAATTTTTACCGAATCACAGTAGACCTATAATTGCCTCAACGTTACTTTTTCACCATACTCTGATGACAAACACACTTAAAAGTCATGATAAAAAAGCAAGCCAGTGAAATTATACAGAATAAGCTAAAAATCGTACAATCTTTTTCCTCGATTCAAAGAAAAGCGTAGCTATAGAATAACATTCAGCAAGAATAACATTCAGCAAAATACAAAATTCAAAACCAAATCGCTGATTCAAAGCAAAATTTCAATACCAAAACGTTGCTCCCGAAACAAAAGAAATTAAAGTCCGAACTCAGAGAAGGATGAGACTAACCGTAACTCACTGCAGATTGAGAACGAGAGGAAGCTGCGCCGCGCGACGAAAGAGTCCCAGAATCCTCTAAACTTTCGATGGAAACCCTAATAAGGCTTATTTATAGATCATTCATGTTGTCATTATTGTTTGTGGGCCTAAATCATGCATGCCCAACCAGTTTCCAATCAGCGGTTCGAATCGGAACCGCCGTCCGAAACTAAACCGATTTTTTCGTACTTCGGCTCGGTTCAACGTTTTTCTCGAACCGGTGGTTCAGCGTGAAAGATTGTTACTCCCTATTTCCTTATCAATTTTCTTTAACTCAAAATTTCTCTTAACACATTCTCCAAAATATTTAGTGCGTGTTTCACTATTAGATGATAGCTGTTAGCTGATTTAATTAACTGGTTTGACTAGCTGCTTCGATTAGCTGTTTGTATTAAAATGTTTGGTAAAATAACTGTTTGATATTAGCTGTTTATACATAAAATGACAATTGAGGATATTTCTATTTTATTTTTGTTTTTAATATATTCAATTATATTCTTTTGCATTTAGAATGTTTAAAATTGTTTGTTATTAGTTATTGAAAATTGTAAAAGTATTATAAAAATATTTATTTTTATTACAGTTAGATTTAAAAAATAATATATATTTATTAAAATATATAAATAGTTTTTTCTATTGAAAATGATGTAAAATATAAAATAATAAATTTTTTGTGTATATACTTATTATGTTAGTTATTGATTAGTTCATTATATTTAGAATTTTCAATCAATTTAATTTATTTAATTTATTTTTAATATAAAATTTATATAATGTAATTTAAATATAAAAATAAATTATTAATATTTATATTTTCTATTTTATGTTGAATTTAATAAATTTATATATTTTACAATTAAAATAATTTTTATATAAAAATTAATTATTTTAAATTTATAAAAATAAAACTATAATATAATAAAATATTCTAATATGATTAATAAATAATCAAAATATATTTATTTGTGTAAACTGCATAATAAATTTTTAAGGGCATCTAAGGAATAAAAAAAATTTTACAGAAAAAGCTATTTCAAAACGCGGGGTAAGTTAGCTTTTCAGAAATTAGCTTTTTAGGTCCAAAAAGCTATTTCAAAAAGCTAATTTACCAAACACCTAAATTAGTTTTTTGATTGGTCAAACAGCTAAAAGCTATTCAATAAGCTAAAAACTCTTCAAAAAGCTATTTGTCAAACACTCCCTTAATATACTACACCCTTATGATTTTTATATCACTTATACAATTTTATAATTCAAAAAAAATATTTTTTAAACCAAAACCCAAAACAAATATATTTGCTCATAAAATTTAATTTTAATTAATACTCTCTCCGTCCCTTAACAATCTATCTATTTTTCCAAGCAATAAAGTATTCATTTCCTTTTTTCAGTAATTGTAACCTGACATTACAAACACATCTCAAATTTACAATATATTATACAAATGTCATTACATTTATATCATACAATACTAATATGGTTAATTTAGTTTTTTTATTCTTATTTTTACTTTATTCAAATATAATATTAATATTTTTAAAACTATGTGTAAAAAATATGGGACTACAGAAATAGTTAATATGTTCAACCAACAATCTTTTGAATGACACAATTATCTATTAATAATAAAAATTTTAATAAAATATTATTTTTATATTAATAACACTATTCTTCTTACTTAGTATTAAAAAATAAAATAAAAAATCATCAATTCAAAAATATCGACTAACCACACTTGTTATATTGGTTAAAAATTCTCTTTTACCTTATTTTAGTTTGTGTGAAAAATAATAATTAAAAATTATGGGAATATGATTATAACATTATACTATTACACTTTATTCATTATTTAAATTTATATTACTTTTTTTTATGAATATATTATTTAAATATATATATTATGTATATTTATTATTTTTTATATCTCATAATTAAAAAATATATTCTTTTAAATTTATTTCACAAAACAAACTAAGGCTGACAAACGGATCAGGTCGGGTCGGGTTCAGGTTCGGGTCAGCTTTAAACATGTTACAAAGCACTTAACTTGAACATGATTCATTTAATTAAATAGGTTGATATTTGCAATCTTAACATGATATTTTATTAATCGGGTCAACCTGAATCTGAACTATATAACCCGTTTAAGTCTAAAATTTTTAAATTTTAATTTAAAATTACAATTTCTATTAACAAAATTTTCAAATGCATAATATATATACATATTAAAGCAAAAAATTATTTATTCAGATCATGAAACCGATATTCAAGAATCGAATTAACAAACACTACATAATACTCCCTCCGTCCCACATACCGTCTGCTACACTGTAGACACGGTATTTTAGGATTGATGTAATTAGTAGATAATTAATAATGTATTAATGAAAATAATTATCATATTCTATAAATAATTACAAAATTAAGATTAACATAACTAATTAGTTTAATTACAATTTTAAAAAAATAAATTAAAAAGTTTAAAATGAGATTAAAGTATGTAATCATTTTCAAAAAAGGAAAGTGACATTGTATGTAGGACGGACGGAAATGGCAACTTGGACATGGCATGTGGGACGGAGGGAATAGTACATAACACACTCCTTTATTTTTTATTGTTTATTTTTATAAAATTGGGCATAAATATTGAACTGTATTGATAAAATTTAGAAAATATATTTAAATTTAAAATAATATTAATTAAACAAGTTAGACGGATTATTATTTTCAGGTCGAAAATGTAAATGAGTTAAATGGATTTGACCCGATTATTAATTGAGTAAAAAATCTTAACCCAAACCTAACTATTTCAGGTTAGGTTCGCGTCAAATTATCACATCAGGTTATTTTTTACTAACCCTGAAACAAACACATTATAAACTCAATTTTTTGTTTAATAAATAAAATAATGAAATCGATAAATATAAGAGAAAAATGTTAGGTGAGTCGATTTGAAAAAGATAATGTATTGCAGGATTATTGATGAAATTGAGTAATATATTTCTATATAATTATAAATATTAAATATATAAAAATTTGTCAAATAAATTGGAGAAATCAATCTAGAGGGAACAATGAGTTGCTAATGGAAAAAATATAGGTTTTGTTTTTTTTTCAAAAATATTATTTCTCTAAAAAAAATTAATATTTAATTACTTTATCCGTTTTACCATTTTTCTCCGTTTAAAAACAATAATATTTTTTCATTATTACTACACAATTGTTAATATTTTTTACACTAATACACTCGTAAGGACAAAAAAGTCATTTACTCGTACTTTTTTTAATTATAATTTAAATGTGATATGTTATGGAATAATTAATTTCTTTTAAAAATTTATAAAAATTAAATAATATTAATAAAAAAATAAACATTCCTGTCATATTCTCAATTTTTATTTGGGATATTTTGGCCACAGTTTTTTACTTCCTCCGTAGTTTAAATTTATTATCACTTTACTTTTTAGTTGTCATCCAAATTTAGTCTCGTTTTTTAGTAAAAAAAATACTACTTTTCTTTACTAAAAAAATAAATTTTTTTATTTTTACATATTATTCTTAAAACCCGTGCTCGGTCGAATAACATGACGGAGGAAGTATTATTTTTCTAATAGTATATTTCTCTACACGTGGAGCAGGAATAAAATAAAATAAAATAAAAAAAACCAAATTTACTTTTTAAATTTTTAAGATGTGACTTAAATAAATAAGAAAAACAAAAAACATTTTTATTTTTTATCCTAATTTCCTTTACAAAGCGTTACCTTGAGATGCAATCTGTACCCCAAAAAAAAAAAAAAAAGTAATAATATAATTGTAAAAAATGACAATAAAAAAAAATTGAATAAAAAATAAAAATCAATTATTATTTTTGATATAAAGAGAATTTATTTTGTAAATAAATATAAACAAATTAAATTAAATGACTCGATCCATCGAAAGTATTACAAGTAAAAAGTAAAAGAATTAATTAATTATGAAAAACGATAAATAAAAGATAATTTATTTAATTTTTTTTAAAATAAATACTGTCATTTTTAATTTTAAATCTTAAATAATAACAATAATAATAATAATATTTTTTATATGAATTTTTGTAAATGCATAAACAAATAAAAATATATAAATTTATTTCTCTACGTTTATCTACAAACACAAGAGAAATAAGAATAAAGAAATAAAAATATTTCTCATTTATTTCACACAAACAAACAAAAAAAAAAATTGATAATTATAGTTTATATGCTCTCAATTTTTTATACCAAAACACCCCTTAAAATAACTACTTATCCAAATAAAACGAAATATGAACTTAAAATTTTTTGAAAAAAAATTGAAAAATAAATGAAATTAAAATAAATAAATGAATACTCAATCCGTTTAATACAATAGTCTTGTTTATTATTTTGTTCGTTCCAAAACAATAGTCTTATTTCCATAAAATTATTCTTATTTTTTCATTTTTATTACACAATTGACACTACTTTTGATAATATTTATGGGACGAAAAAAATAAATAAAACAAACAAATTTCGAACCAACAACTAAAATTGCAACTAAAAAACAAAAATAAATTATAAGCGTAAATTTAATAATAATAATAATAACATCTAACTATTACTCCCTTATTCCCATGTAATATGGGTCTATTACTGTAGACACGAGAATTTAGGTAAAGTATAATTAATAAGCAATTAAAGAAATATATCAGTAAAAATAATTATAGATTAAAATTACGATAACTAAATAGTTTAATTAAAATTTAAAAAATTTTAAATTTTAAATTTTAAAATATCATTAAAATGTATAATTAATTTCAAAAAAAAAAAAGGAAAGAACAAATTAAGTGGACGAACGAGAAAAAAAAAAAAAAAATATATGTGGGACGGGAAGAGTATCATTTTGTAGATTGGGCCGGGTATTTAAACCCGCTTGGTTTTTTTAACCTAGCCGCCAAATCCAATTTTATTTCCATCGGCGCCTAAATCACGAATTATTCTCTTGCTCCGGCGTCTCCACCTCTGCAATCGCGGTTCACCTGGTGCAGGCGAAGGGCCGTCGACGTCGAGGTATGCACTCTCATCAATTTTTCGCCTTTCTCTTTCTTTTTTCTATAGCGTAGTTCTTTCTTTTCCTTCATCATCTTCCTCCTCTTCAATTTCTCTGTATTTCGTCTTCCACCTCTCCAATTTCTGTATTTCTATTTGATTTTTGAGGAGTGGCGAATAAAGATTGGGGACATAAGTAGAGAAGAAAAACATACAAAACGAAACACCGGAACTAGAAATAGTCGTCGACTGTCTTCTTGCCGAACCGAAGAACTTCTGCGTCGCTAGGGTTTCTGTTGAATATAACACTAGTGTCGTCGTATGTTTCTGTTGAGGAGGACCCTTTAGTCTTTTTCTTATTTAGTTGGAGACATTCTCGTCAATTTCGTTTTTTTTTTTTTTTAAATTTTTGCTGCTGTTCTCCTCTCTGCTGCCATCGCCGTCGTCCCTGTTCGTCCTTTAACTCGTGCGTGATTTAGTTTGTGTTTTTTGTCATTCATTCACTCCCGCACTAATTGGAATGTATCATGTATAGAATTATTTGAATAATTGTTGTTCAGATTCCGAAGGTTTTGAGTTTGATGTTGTGGTTCAATCAATTCAATCATTTTCCATTCATACAAATTATAATACTATTATATTGAAGTATGTATGTATGGCACGAATGATGCAGATGAGATGAGTGCTCTCAAAGTAAGGTCCATCATCACCTTGGATGGAGTTTTTTGTTATTTTAATTCAATTTAACTAGTGTATGTAGTTTTCAGTTATGCTATTTCAGTCCACGAGCAATGGCTTAAGTGTTTGTCGCTATGATAGTTCCGATTTGTTCAATTTCAATTTGAAAGATATCTCATTACTGTTTTGTTTTTTCTATTTAGTATGAAGTCAGGAACAACCAAACATCGGCGCTGCTCCGGGTCGTCAATGGCGAAAAACTGCAGCAGCGGCGGCAGCAGCAAGGATCTCCTACAGTTGGAGCATAATTCTTCTGCTGTGGCCTCCACTTCATGTCTAGGTAACAACCTTATTGCTATCACTGGCTTGATTAGTGGAAAAGAATATCTGATTTGCAAATGCTCGCAGGTTCAAAGTTGTTCGTGTGGAATAAAGATGACTCTGTTCCTCAGCCTGGAGCACCTATTCAGAAGCCTCCTATGTTTCCTGTTCCCAAGAGTGATGGTACCCTTGATATACTATTGTTTAGGTTTTTACAATTTTTTGGTGGTTTCAAGTCTGACATAGGTGCTAATTAACTTGCATAAGAAGATAATTTCCGAAGTCGAGCATGGGGAAGCCTTGATTTTTTTTTAATAATGTTACTTTTATCAGAAGCGTATAGATTATGGTTCTTCTTGCTTTCTAGTTGTTAGGGTAGAAATGTCTATACTAATAATTTTGTGTTCGTGTTTGTTTTTCTTGGCATAATATGCATGTAATTGTGTTTTGTTTTCAGATATAAATAGTACCCCTTCCGTCTCACATTGGGTGTCTTGGTTACTGTAGACACGAGAATTTATGATAAGTATAATTAGTAGATAATTAAGAATAGATTAGTGAAAAGAATTAACCTATAATATAAATCATTATAGATTAAGATTAAGATGATTAATTATTTTAATTAAAATTTAAAAAAAATTAAATTAGAAATTTTAAAATGAAATTAGATGCATAATCATTTTCCAAAAAAGAAAAGTGACATGAGATGTGGGACGGATAGAAATGGCAACATGAACATGATAAGTGGGACATATAGACTAATAATTTTGTGTGCGTCAGCTATATATGAAGCAGAAAATTTTAATTTGTGTTTGCTTGGCATTTTATCTGTCATGAACTATTCAACCCATTTTCTTCCTGCCTTATTTATGCAACTATAAAGCTTTGTTTGCTATGTTGGCTGGATGTCATTATGTTAAAACAAGGACTTAGAAATTAAGTACTTGTTTGCTATACGATCCCACAACATGATTTAAGGTTATTTATTGGTCTTGCCGTGTTACTGGAGAAAAAAATAATCTTCAATTGAGTTATTGTCAACAACAATTCCAGTTTTAATTACACTTTGAATAGGGGATGATGGTGTTGCAAGAATGTGGGTGCAATTTTAATTGTGTTTTGGTTGACACTAAGCAGTTGAATTATATTATGCATGAAATCAATGTATGATAAACCTGAATCGTGGTTACTAAATTATTCAGTCAAAACTTAACTCCTAAATTATTCAATCAAAACTTAACTATGTAAATAAGTCATTTCTCAGGAAATAAACTTGGATATGTTCTTACATTAGTCATATATGCTATCAATGTGATTTTTTTGAGAATATAAAAAATGAAGAAAGATAACATCATCGTTTGAAGAAACTGAGGGGATTTGGAGTTTTGAAACCACAAGAGAGTTACGAGCAATTTTACAAGAGAAGCCTTTGCATAAATTTTGGTGTCCCTTGTAGCATTCCAAGATTGCAAAAATGCATAGTTTCTAGAAGATATATATGTATTTTTTTTGGCAAAATTACTCATAACTCCTATGTGGTTTCGAAACTTAGTGTAAATTACCTTTGTACTTTAAAAATTGCATGTCGTTCCTTATATTTTAAAAAATATTGCATGAAATCTCTTTCTTATAATTTTTGTTTGATGAGAAAATTTTTCATTACATTTTTTGCCTGACGGGAGGTTTTATGCAATGTTTTCGAAATTATAATGGGGCGCTATGTAATTTATAAAATACATGGGAGATTTAGTGATTTACGTTAATTTTCGAAACCATAGGGGAATTATGACAATTATACATTTTTTATTTTTTTTCCATTTTGTTTTTGTTTTTGTTTAGAAGTTATATTTTATTTATGCATGGTACTGCAGGTTTTGGAGATAGTAGTGTAGATTTTTTTTTCTGGTCATAATTTTTTTAGAATTTGAGGATAGTGTGCACGAAAAACAGCATTTGCACTTGTATTATTATTTGAAGAGACTGAGAGTTAGTTCGTCTAGTACTCTATTTGTTATGTTTATATATATCAAATTCAAATATAGTAAGAGAATGAAAGTTATGATGTCAATTACACTAGCATATGTAAACCATGTTAACTTATTGATGTAACCGACACTTTACATTCCTTGCAGTTTTAGGAAAAGTGAAGGACTTTTTAGGTGTTATGTCTGAATCTAACAGAAAGCTGTTGCACAATGCAAAGGTATACACATATCTGCACTAATTAGTAATACAAGGTGTGCAGTTTAACCCAATAATTAGTTTCTGGACCTCAAAGCTTAAAATATGCATTTTCATCTAATGCAGGAGAATCCCGAGAATTATGATATTGAAGTGCTCAATGGGAAAGAATCTGAAGTCATTGAATTGGTAATTCTTTACCACTCTTTTTATTCCTTATTGTAAGCGGTCAAAATAGAAAACTTTTGGTAACTATTTAATTTGACAGATATATTAATATCATTTGATTCGAATATGAGAATACTGAGTTGAGTTTTATGGTGGCAAAATAGTTTATGTCTAATTTGTTCCTGATATATAGTTCTGTGTTAGATAGGGATGATTGGTAATAGTTTGTGATAATTATTACTAAAAAAACAAAAAACAAAATAAAATTACGAGACTTTAGGGTCTCAATGAACAGTACTGATCTAGACTTTAGGATATTGTTAAAACATGGGACTAATTTATGCGATCGTGCAAACGTATATAAACACTGATAATCTTGAGTCTTGTATTTATATCCGTGTCAGAAATTTCAAGATGTAGGCAGTTGATTTATTATTGAAAATATTAAAAAGATTTACAAGACAATGTGCATATATGTAAGTATAGTCGACATAACATAATAATATGACGACGGGATTTAGAATTAATTTGTTTGATTGTAGGATCTGATGCTTGGCATTGCTGATCTTCACACACCGGAGGCTGTAGCGGCTGCAGAGTCTGCAATGGCTGGATATCAACCGGTAACTCGTTTTTCTGAAAGCAGCAGCGAGTCCGATAGCGAAGAGGACAATGACAGAAAGGATGAGATAAATGAAGAGGTCAGTAATCCCGACTCTAAAGAACATGTTAATTTAGAGCCGAAGGAGGATACGGGTAGTAGTAAATATTCGCGGGAGAGATCGGGGAAACAAAAACCCCCAAAACGACCCAAGATCGTCGAACTCTCTTAGAAGATTTGGTGTGATGGGTTATTTATGTATTTGTGTGATCCTAATTATTCACCTCGTTTGTTTGTTTGTTTTTCCTACTTTTGTGTTGAATTAGTGTAGAGTTTTGATTCTAGTGCATGAAATTGAGATTTATTGTTATATTAACAGAGATGAACTATTGAATTGAGTTCATTAATAGAGTGTTGTATTTGTTACTTAATTCTTATTGGCATAGGCATATCGTATCGTACTGAAAATACTGATTGATATTGATACCGTATTGAATTTTTCGGTACGGTGAAAATACATACCGGTACCGTACCGAAAGTTTCAGTACGGTACCGGGTATATATCATATATACTGAAAATTTTGATTTCGGTACAATATCGGTATATACCGAAAATATAATTATAAATTTCAAAATAATAAAACAAAATTAATAATATTACCATTTTCTATCACAAAAATATAATGAAAAAATTAATAAATTTTTAATAGTCTGTATATTTTTTTGTTATGAGATTTTTTTTAAAAAATCATTATTATTATTTATATTAATAATTAAATTATTTAATAAAAATAAAATTGGTACGTTATTATACCGAAATATTGAACTTTTTGAAAATTCATACTGATTTTGGTACGATATCCATATTGTACTGAAATTTTCGATATTTCGGTATATTCAGTAAATTTTTCCATCTCTATGTACTTATATATGTGAATTCTAGAGTAAAATGTTGGGTTGGGTTGGGTTACTTTCGAGTATTTAATCTATAAAGGCCAAACAGCGGTAACCTAAAATACTATTAAAAGATAACAATTCTCCAAAAATACAATCAAACTACATTTTTATGATTTATAATATCCCATATAATATACATGACACTAATAATTATTTGGCACTGCCAAGACCAAGACAACTACCTGGCAATGAGTGGGTTGAATACTTTAACCAAGTTAAATTTTTTTATCGTGTCGGTTCGTGTTGATCCGTTTATTATCGTGTCGGTTCATGTTGATCCGTTTATTATCGTATCTGATTCGTGTTGGATTTGTGTTGACCCGTATACATAATTAAGTCAAATTTTTTTATTCAAATCCAATTAAACTTAGTTTAAATTAATAGGTGGATTAATTATTAAATTATAATTATTTTACATATATAATAACTATATTAATCAATATTAATATATTATAATCGAATTGTCGGGTCGAATTCAAATTGAGAGTCTTAACCCTAATTCGACCCGTATACATAACCAGGTCAAAATTTTTGACCAAAATTCAATTATTTCGTGTTAGGTTGTCGTGTCCAGTCAGTTTTTGCCAGCTTTAAAGACAATGCCTCTAACATACCTCAAAATAGGAAGGCAAACAGGCAATTTCGTATTACAAAAAACCAAAAACACAAATTAGAGTGTAGAGTACATGGAGGGAGAGTGTTTTTTTTTTATATAGATACAGTAGTGCTATAAAGTATAGGAAATGTCCATGTTCATGTCAACTAAATTATTTTGTGTCGTTGTCGTTGTTTCCGCCGCCATACTGCGTAGAATTACCATTCCAGAAGGCATTTCTGTCGCTAAATCGACCATCATCATCTGTGTCGTCGTGCTTCAAGGTGTGAATGTTGGCCCCGAAGCGAGAACTTGTGGCCCTGCGGTTGCTATTGCTGCCGCTGGTAGGCAAGCTTTGGCCACCTCGGTATCTTACCGTGTTTTGAAGCGAAGGATTTGGACCTACAAAAAAAGAAATAAACCCTATTGAGTGAGTAGTAGAAACTAGAGTTGGCAAAAATTGATCAGATACGAAATAATTGGATTTGGATAAAAGATTTCAATCCGATTATAATATATTAATATTGATTAATATATTTATTATATTATGTAAAATAATTCTAATTAAATAATTTGCTCATAAATTAATTTAAACTATGTTCAATTTTAAATAATTTAACCTAATCTATTGTACATAAGTTCAAACTAATAAAAACTAACATAAAACACAAAATATAATTTAATTTGAATAAAAAATTTGAGTTAATTCTGTACACGAGTCAACATGAGTTAACCCGAACCCGAAACGATAATAAACAAATTAATACAAACCCGACACAATAATAAACGGGTTATGATTGAATAATTTAACCCGTTTAAAGTATTCAATCCGATACCAAACAATAGCAATTTTGATTTTAGGGACTTTAAGATGAGTTCAATTTACTCTTACCTTTTTTGACCATCAAAACTTACCAAATGTAACTGATACTAACAATAGACACACAGAGGGACAACAATATGTAATTATATAAGTTCTTAACATCGATATAATTCTTTAAAATTCTTTTCACAAAAAAACATCAAATCAAACATCTACTTTTTATATAATGCTAAAAATAAATTTTACATTCAAAATATCTAATTAACATTTATGTATATCACATCAAATAACTATTTCAATTTATAATTTTACTTTTCAAATCTAAACTCAAAATCCTAACTATTCACCATGCTTAGAATAGAGGCACAAACTAGACGGAGTTAATTATAAAACTTAGTACCCTTTCCATCCAATAAAAATTATCGTTAAATACTTAGTTTTCATTTAAAATATACGAGACAAAAATCATTCTATATTAAAAACACCGCATCATAAAACTTATTTCAATTCACAGATCAAAACAAACCACCCTAAATATCATTCTCTAACAAGGCTAGATTGCAATAAGGCCTTCCTATGGGACCGAATGCTGCTAGAATAATAGCACGCAACGTTTTCCCCTTCATGCATCCAATTTTAAGACTCGAATAGAATAATAGTCCAAATATCATGCAGATCATTTCAAATGCTGAAAATCGATAAATTTATGACCCACGAGTTTATGTAATGAAGAGGGAACCGAAGTACTCACTATATTGCCACATGCCATCGTCGGATTCCTGGGATGCAATTCCCGAGCTAGGGCTTCTGTTAAGGTAAGAAAGAGGGTTCACGTACGACAGCATTCTTCTTGCAAATGCCCAATACCCTTCATTTGCATCGGAAGATCCAGTCTCGACAGATGAATTACTTTGATGGTCTGACGACCCCCCTCTGTAATGGGAAGTACTCTGGTTATGTGGAACCACAATCAAGGCTTGCCGATTGAAGAGACCCAAGTCTGATAAGGTCCTGTCCAAATCTGTGTATAAAAACATCAGGCAGGCGACACACAAGTAGATGAATATCTGAGAATCTTGATGAAGTAAACATTACTCGATACGGTTGAAATTGAGTTAAAAGAACACTTAATGCAAAACCCAACATCATCCAACATAGCAAGTTAACTACCATGAAAGTAATAAGCATCATTAAGAGAGCGAAACTTCTCAAATAAGTAACAACCACGTTCCCATGGACTGGCTGCCAGTCGTGCACACACCTATACTCGGCAGCACACAGGGTATGATTAGAATTCATTTTATTAATTATTAGTTTCTTATGATTAGGATTATAGGAAGGGCAGGTAAAGCCTTACATGCCATCCCAGAACAGGCATTGTTTGGTCTAGTTTCGGTTTTGGAACTCAGCTGTACTGCTTGGGACAAGAGTATAACTGTGAGTGTCATTTTCTAATAAAATCAAATTTGTAGGTAACAGCAATCCATCACTTCATCTCATTACCTAATTATGGTCCAATTCGAGCTAATAAAAGTGAATTAAGAGACGATCCTAAACCCAGTGGAGCGCATATAAGTTATAAGCATTCATAAAGACAAGCATAACAGTATTCAACTAGCATGGAGCCTTCGAGTATAAGGACAGATTGCTTCCTCTCACCAAACTTGAAGTGCATATTTACTTAGTCTACATGATCGGTCTAAACGGTACCTTTCACGCAAAATATTAAAACTTCAAGTCATTCTCACGTTCACATGATAAATTTTGAGATCAACAAAGAGCAAAAAAAAGCCGGAAAAACTAAGTAGCAATAGTATACCTTGCTCACTGAAAATCTTGCGAGGATAAGGAATCCCTGTGCTAAAAGAGCTCAAGCCACTTGTTTCCTTTATGTAGTCTACTATCATTCCTAGTGTGTCCGTCACAGAAAATTTGGTTCGTAGGCTAGAACCGTCAGGCAATTTGATATTTAGGAAAACATCATTGGATTTACTAACAAAGGAATCAGAAGCATCAGCTTTCTCGACTTTGTTAGGGTACTCGGAATCTTTAACCCTTGCTGTTTCCATAGCTTCATCAACAATCTCTCCAGAAACTTCATCACCACTGCCTAGATTAATAGCACGTGCATCTATATTTTTCTCCGGGCCAGGAGATGGTGCTTCAGCATTTTTTGGACCTATTTCCTCTGGCTCCTGTACTACGGTTCTTGTTTCAGTTATAAAAGTAGACTCATCCGCTCCACCATTGACCAACTCATTAGCAGAACGTTCAGGAAAAGCTGTACCGTCCTGCTTCAGATATGTCTCCTGCAAATAAAGAAATGTAAACATTTAAATACAATACAACACAATTAGAGTGGATGGTGAGCATAGCCAAAAGTGACCTTAGAATCATCTTCATAATCTTTACTATCTTCTGTTGTGTGAGAATGCGAGGGTTTTCCAGCATCAAGAGATTGGCTGTTATCATCTGTCGATGGCATTGCCGCATTTGTCTCTGGTGTCACTTGTTCAGAGGGGGAAGTCTTAGGTGTTCCAGATGCAAGTGCAGCTGTCAAAAAAGCAGCAGTCGTCTCCTATACCACATTCAATGCACAATTGGTTATTGTTAAAATATATTTAGAAGCAATATATAGTATTTATGGTAGTAATCTTATTTAAGAGATTTGTGGGATTCTTGTCTTATTTAGACGATTTATATGTCACTATAAATATGTACGTATTCTTATGATTGAAATAGAAAATTTTTCAATTTCATATTCTAACATGGTATCAGAACCAAATTCTCTTCGGGTACCTCCATAACCCGTTATATCTCGTATATATTTTTATATTTTATTAATGTATTTGCTTCTATCCACGATCATGCTGTTATTTAGTCTACTTTCGACTCTAACGCCGTTGAGAGTCCTGTTTTCGACTCTAACTCTATTGAGAGCAAGGGAGTCCTGTTTTCAACTCTAACTCTATTGAGAGCAAGGGAGTCCAGTTTCCGACTCTAGCTCTGTTGTAAGTGAGAGAGTCCTGTTTTCGGCTGTAGTTCCGTTGTGAGCGAGCGAGTCCTGTTTTCAACTCTAACGGTGTTGAGAGTTTTGCTTCTGCTCTGATTCAATGGACGGCTGTACTACTTTCAGTCAATCTTGGCAAATTCAAATTCATGCGTAGAAGATCTTGGCTATATCTTTTTCGGTCACTTCTGACAAACTCAAGTTTGTTCGATCATATCTTAAGTTTGAGGGGGTGTTAAAATATATTTAGAAGCAATATATTGTATTTATGGTAATTATCTTATTTAAGAAATTTGTGGGATTCTTGTCTTATTTAGACGATTTATATATCACTATAAATATGTACGTATTCTTATAATTGAAATAGAAAATTTCAGTTTCATATTCTAACGGTTATAAATACAGCAACCATTTGCTGCACACTATTCATATCTGAAGTGAATCAGATACAATAAACAGATGAAATCATAGGAAACCATAACCTCTCTAGAAAACAGATGATCACAAATACTTGAGAAGAGGATACAAATATGACATTTCTTTTGAGGTGGAAATGATGTTTGTGTCAATATTGACTTCAGCTCACACACGACATGTGAAGTAGAGTTTATACGGTGAAAATAACGAATGATTTAATGAAGGGGCTTGGACTGTCCAGATTGCATTTAGCTGTTCGCCGAATTTGAAATTATACAAGCTATGAATACGTACTTCAGTTCAATTCTATAAGATATATTGATAGAAACATTAAAAATTAGTAAATATAACTCAGCGGCTTATTTAATAGTATAGTAATAGGACACTGATTCCCAACTGTACATCTTCAGCCTTGAAATGTGGCATGCAGACACTCCTATAATAACACAAAATAATAAACACGGAAAAATAGCAACACACAGAAAACAACTTTGCGTATTTGAGGTATTAAATATAAAATATCCTAACAAAGTAAAACATGATTTGGTGCTATGTAACAGTTTTTACTTCATCATTTTTTCATAAGATTTCAATGTTTGGGAAAAATATGAATAGTTTTATTCTGACTGTGATTAGGACAGTGAGATCAATATGAATATATGATTAGGACTTTGTTATGTGTTTACTAGTGTTCATTTTTGGACTATTAAATTTACAATTCCCCTCCAAAGATATCACATCGAACATTAATTTTCCATTAAAAGAAGCACACTCAATATTTTCATCTCAAAATTTGTAAAGCCCAAAATATCAAAAGAAAACTAGAACACAAGTAAACGCAATGATGATTCTCCAGAGAGAGAGAGAGAGAGAGAGAGAGAGTACTTAGTGAATAATTGCATCAGTACATTAGACAACAATCAAATTCAGAACTTGTTATAGTCCTACTTCTAATGACAAAATAAAGTCCTATCTTAAAAATTAGCATAAGGCTCGGAAATCATATGCAGCAATCACCACACCATATCACCCACCTGAAAATGAAGACTTAACCATGCTTTCTCAAGACTCGAAGCAAGAACATCAGCACTGACAGATCCCGCTGATAATTTGTCCATCAAGAAACAAAACAAATGAAATAAACATCCCGAAATCAATTAGTTTACAAGCACTTCACAACACAAACCAAATGAAATTCTTAGAAAGCATACCTTTTTGCCAAAGCTGCACACCATTATATCCAACGACAGTTATGCATGGAGCAGGTGTCTGAGGATCTGAAGACTTAAATTTAAGGACACAATCTAATGAAAGATGTAGGTTTTTCTACTCTACTATGAAGTGTAGGTTTACAGACTAAAGCCAACTGCGCAGTACTGCATTCAGATCAACAAGGGGAATTGTTCTTCTTATTATGTGTAGTCATCTTAAAGGAACAGGGAGGGATGGAAGAGAAAATAAAAACAATTCTATTTCACTAAGACAGAATCCGTTACAAGTTGAGTTGCATATTTGCTTTAAAAAAAATCTTTATCCCAGTTATATTAGTTAATCAAGCAAGCCTAGCTGATTTATGTTATCACAGTTGACTCGAGCCTGTATCAAACTAGGCTCGAGCTTGGTCAATTAAGAGAATGAATAATGAAACTCAAACACAACTCACTCTATGCATTTTTTTTCCCTCATGTTTGAGCTTAAGGTTGTTTACAACAAATAAGTCAAGCTTGAGTTTGAACCAAAAATTCCTAAAAAACTGCATGACATAGCGAAGAAAAAAAAAATGATAAATTTCCATTCTTGTTGAGCAGTTTGAGCTACATTTTTCTTAAATTGAATGAACCTATTAATAGTTGAGTATATTTGATGTCAAACTCACTTGCTTAACATAATTAACACACCGTATCCAAGGATTCTTGCATCAAGTCTTGTCACATTTTCAAGTTCATCAAATAAATTAACACCAACACACATCAATTAATGGAATCACAGCATAACCAGTGTTTGTATCTTCTACTTTATTTGCTATCGTTCTCTTGTACCCTTAAGCTATTTTACATTAGCCAGGGTGAAGTAAAGAGATTATTGGCTCATCTAGCATAAATAGTACCAAGGAAAAAGAATAAGGAAATTAAAGAAACAAAAGAAATTGGAATTCCAACCCCATAAGGGAAAAAATATAAAGATTTTGACAGCAAGAACAGGTCATTTCTTCATATGCAAATATAGTTAAACTATAAATCTTATTTTTAACATTACGACTATCTCTTTACAATAATGCAGTAATATAATTCAGAATCATAATACCATTGTCTTCAAGCCATCGGTTGAATAGATCAGAAACTAGCCCCACAAAACCCTGCCTTTTCTTCTAAATGTTAAGCCATGGCATCAGTGCTACCCCTACTGTTTAAAATAATTCAAAATTAACGAAGCACTTTGGCTCTACAGACAGATTTTGACCCTTCTCATATTTAAATTTGATCAAGCCAATTGCACTTCTGTTTTAGACCAGACCTAAAAAATCTACACCTGAGATGTAGGTCTGCAAGGTTTATTTCCCAGAAATTAATGGTGGTTCCTAAACCCAAGATGTTGTATCAAACGTAATGCTTTATCCTTCCACGATCTAACATGTGATTTCTTTTAACAAATAACAGATTCCATATCTGTCCTAAATGCTTGAGGCTCCACAAGTTAATTAGTAGAATACTGAACAGTTAAGTAGCATTATGTAGGCGCCCTGGTGATAGATTTAGTTCTTCACAACAACAATAGACTATTGAAGATTCCAAGTTTGAGAGCTAGCATTAAGTATGCTTTCTATAAGGAATTTGCATAAAATGAGCATACTCAATCATGACTATTTCATGATTAGGGATGAAGGTTAGGAGTCAATGAATATCATCAAAGTTCAAATTATTTTAACCACAAAAATAAATGATGTGTCATTGGTTTTATCAGCAAGAAAGGATACATATTGCAGAAAAATTAGATGCTTCGGAGCTTCCTTCCAGTAGGTGTAACAGAATGCAGTACTTCAACACTGTCTCAGACACCTGAACCCAATACAAGATCATAAAATGAGGGTATAAGAACAGTATAAGAAGATCTATTTTCAAAATTCCAAAACCTTATAATCCAAGAAACCTACACTTTGGTTGATCCATGTAGATGTTTCAAGGACCTTTGACTCCTCATTGTCGCCTGATTCAGAAAGATGTTTTTTTAAAATGGAAAAAAGCCCTTTTTATGAACTTAAGAAATCATAAACTGAAAACTTGTGTAGCCAGCAAATTAGCAACGTCAAGCATGAATATAAATGCACAAAATACACACTTAGCCAAAATATGATCCATACTTGTTCGTGGAAGTCCTAAAATTGCTGAGGGGAAACCCTAATAAATAATCCATTAAATTCCCAATAGTAGAAGATCCAAAATACTTCATAAAACTTTATTCTATCACATCACTACTCCTCTCAAATTTCATCTTCTTGAATCTCAAACTCTTAATCACTACAACAGATTACTTTGCACAAAGCGTCACCATGCAATATCTATACTATCATATTATGCACAAACCCCTTAAACCAACTGCTTTGACATGTAGCATCTTAAAATCTTACATAACGCTCCTTTTGTTTGGTTTACTAATCTAACATCCTTCTCTTCGGTTAGTTGAAGCCATTTAGAGACTTCCACACATCTTCATTGCATGCTAATTTGCCATAGGCACTTTGCATCAATTATAAACTTACTGCAACTTCATTGGAAACATTGAGGATGTGTTCTTTCATGTTTCTTTTTCCCAATTTTTATTATTTAATTTAATATTTTCTCTTAGAAAAATTATATTCAACATCTATTTTCACCATAAAAACATCAAAACAAAATACAAAAACAAAAACAAAATCACCAAAGAACACACCCGACTCTCCCTCAAGGTTTCATAATACCCACTCAAATCCAACATAAAATACATCAATATAAGAAAGAAATGCTGCTTTCAGCTGAACCTACGAAAACTAGCTCCGCTCATTGTTTTCCGAACTCAAGCATCTACTTGATCAAAGGCTTATCTGTCAGTTGACAGATTTTTTTCATGTTTGTATGCCGAACCCAAAGTCCTCTCTTCCTCCTTTCCATCAACCAAGTTTTAACTGCTAGTCTTGATCCTATGAGAAACAAAATAAAATCTGTCCATCCGGATAACAGCCACCTAAACATACAGCTCCTAGGTATTATCATGCCGCCAAAAAATATTCCATTTGTGTATTGCCCAAGTGCTTCTGTATTGACTAATACATTGGCAGTTTTCTTATAAATGGGCTTCAATTCAATTTAACCTTTTTGCTCAGGATGCACCCCATAATTTCCAATATAATTTAAACAGAGCCTTCTCCACAATTATGACAAATAAATAAATATTATATAATCAAATGAGCATCTTCATTAGCATTTCATCCTCTGACTAAACCAACACAGCAAACCATCCCTGCCCCTATGTCTAGAAAAATTCTATTAGTTTTTTTATCCTTCAACTCCAAATCACCAAATGAAACCCACAGAATACAGAAAGTAAGACCATGTAAAACACTTACCTCCAGTGTAGACAACAAAAAGTTTCTTCTGCTGTTTCGCTTCAGCAATTGCTTCTGCTATTGAACCTCTAAATGCAAGGGAAGAAAGAGAATGCTCCATCTACAAGATGATAAAAACAATCAAACATTCTGCAGTTCCCATGTTTTATGTTTATAGTTAACTTACTTTATAAAGTGAAGCATGTTAACTTTGAAATCCAAAATAAGATATAACTGATGCTAATATTTTCGGAATAAATTTAAGATGTGATACACGGCATAAAAGATTTATAAAATGATATGTAGCTGTCTCATACGAAATTCCACATCAAAGATCCCCGACAAACATGTGTCCATTTCAACACCACTCTTTAAATAGACCATAATTACCAAAGCAAGCAATTACAATGATATACAAACCACATGTACGATGCCAAGCTCGCACATCTTATAGAAGCACGTAGATAAAACAAACTCACACATTACCACAGATCTAATTGAATCAAACATCTCCTCCACAGCATGAATTCACCATCCACAGAGGAGTTCAAATTTATCTAATTTCTTACAACCAACTGTCCGAAAATCGAAATTCTACTTAAACTGTCTCTCCCAATTCAGGTCACCATGCCCTCCACAAACTAGACTACTTGTATTCCACGAAATTGAGCTGCCATCATCCAACGCCAATAAACAATCATCAATCCACTAAAAGGAATACATAAGCCCCCCCCCCTACCCCCACCCCCACGCAAATACGCATCAGTGACTTTAATTACAGACAAGAACCCCAACAATCCAAATTATTCCAACCAGTAATAAAATTCTGCTAAAAATTACTCGAATGAAATAAACAGAACGACAAACCGATCAGTTTCATACAGTCTAACAATTCAGTAAGTTCATAGACATGTGATACATAATCAATGACCCCCAAAGCAACACAGTATTAAAAAAAAACGTTGATTTCAATTCATCTCCGTAAAAAATGGCTACCTCTTCGATAATCGCGAGCTAAGAAACTACAGAAGGCAGCCGAGGGTTCCACCGGTCTAGGAAGTCTCCGACGCTTGGTTTCGCCGTCGCTTTGTTTTTTCCCTTTTATGGGGTTTTTTTCTTTTATGTTTTAAAAAATATATATATATATAGTTAGGGTTTGTTTGACCATAGTTTTTTCTCCAACACGATCTTATATATATTTATTTTATTCTAAACGTAACATTTAATGTAAATTTATTTATTTATTTATTTATTTTTTACTATTCTCTCGATAGTGTAAATATGTGTTTATTTGATCAGACATCTAAATTAATAAAAATAAATAATAATTATTTTTTAATAGTAAAAAAAATATAAAAATAAAATAATTTTTTTATTTAGAAGATTATAAAACTGCAAATCAACAGCAGGGTTTTAGAAATCAGTGTGCTCTCTTCTTTATTATTATTATTATTATTATTATTATTATTCTTATTCTTATTATTATATTTTTAAAAAAATTAATATATTATATTTATTCATTATTTTTATAGTATTATATATATTTTTATATTTAAGTAAAAAAGTATTTATTTAAATTATTTTACAAAACACACATTTTCCGTGGTTTAAATTTTGAATTGGAATTTGAATATTAAAAAATTTAAATTGAAATAATTTGATACGATATAAATAGGTATGAATTAGTTGTTTTAAATATAAAATTAATTATTAATATAATATAAAAAATAAATGTTTGATTTGATATTTGTGAAAAAAAATAAAAATTAGATAGATAGTTAAAATATTTATAAATCCTCCAAACAAATACACCTTTTAATATATTTTTGAACTCAGATTTTATTATTTGAAGTACTTATTTTTTGAAAAATATACATTTTTTTATTTTATATATAAAATCTTAATTAAATTTTCTCAAATAAAATAATAAAAAAAAAAAACGCTATAGATTGTGTTTTATTTTTTAGGTTTTGCAATGTATTTTTATATTATATTACAAATTTATTTTACATTCAAAATATCATATCAATATCTATTTATATCACATCAACTAATTATTTAAATTAATATTTTATTATTCATATATCCAAACCAAAAAACTCAAACCCATTAGCAAACTTATCCACAGTTTTAAAATATCACATCAACATCTATTTATATGACATCATACAACTATTTCTATTCATATTTTACTTTTTTTAAATCACAACTCAAAATCCAAAATTCCAAACAAACGGACCGTTAGTATAATTTTTATGAATTCATTGCGTGTGTGTATATATATTGATTATAACTATGTTATAAATTATATTTTTTTAATAATATTAAATCCCTAAAAATAGTTGGATGAACATTTATAATTTTTTTTCACCATTTAAAATTTAAAAGTAATAACAATTTCCATATCAATAAAAATATACTACTTCCGTTCCAAAATTATAGTATGGTTTTGTTTGGCACGAGATTTATGGAATATTGATATTATATTGGTAATGGGTAAAAAGTAAGAGTAAAAGACTTTTTTGCCCTTGTGAGTGTATTAGTGTAAAAAGTAGTGATAATTGTGTAATAATAATGAAAAAGTAAGGGTAGTTTTACAGTGATATGATTATTTATGGAAATGAAAATATTGTTTTGGGACGGACAAAAATGGTAAATAGGACAATTGTATTGAGACGAAGGGAGTATCTCATATATAAATATTGAGTATTGAATAAAATAAAATAATATTTAATTAATATAAAATTTCAGATTTATTTATTTAGTGTTTTAGTTTGAAGTAATTTTTTTTCCTATGGTACAAAGAATAGGTAATATACAAAAATACTTCTTCGGCTAATTAGGGTGCTTTTGGGTATGAAAATTAAGATATAATAATATTTTAATGAAAAATTAGATGGGTAAATATTTAAGTAAAAATATTATAAGAAATTTATTAATAATTGTTAAAAATGTGAGATAATAAGTATAAAATATAATGATAAATTGATTATTGCTTATTAAAATATAAATAATAAAATTGTGAAAAATAAAATTATTTACTATAAATATATTGTTTATAAATTTAAAAGGACAACAACAAAAAAAATCTGATATAATTATAGTAATATTTTAAATAATTAGACAAACAAATACATTGTATGTGCAAAACTTATAATATACTTATGTTAATAATGAATTTTTATTATTGAATGGTTTTTATATACTTTTTTTTTTATCCATTATGTGTTTGTTCTGTAAGATAATTTAAATGAATATTATTTGATGTAATGTACGAGAATTGTGTAAGGAATATACAAATAATTAATGTATATGACAAATTAGGGGATTATTCAATATAGATTTTGTAGGATTTTATTGGACTTTCAAAATCCGGGTGTATTTAATCAAGACTTTTAAAAGTCTTATTCAATCGAGATTTTTAAAATTTTGAGGTATTCAATATAGATTTTTAAAAGTCTTTAAAAATATTGACATATTCAACCATCCATACAATTTCAAAGTCTATGGATTTTAATGGAAAATTGTGAAAATTTTGTATAGAAAATAATCTATCTTGATGATCACAGAATTTGATGGATTGTTAAAATATTGTTGTATATATGATCTATGATAATATTTATTGCTATTATTATAATTTTTAATAAAAATAATAATTTAAAAATAAAATATATTAGCAAATTATTATGAATTTTCTTTTAAATATTTTTTTTCTATATTATAAATATAATTTTAAAAAATATTATTATCACAATAAATATGTATTACTGTCGTTTTTTCTTTTCAATTATCGAATATACTATATTATCATTTACGATACGGTAAAATAGATATTTGAATATATATTTTTTGTTGAATCATTAATTTATATTTATTTATTTATTTTAATATTTTTTTCAAAAATCGTAAATTATATTTTTTATTTTATTTATATACGGTATTTACTTTTTATGTAAAAAAGTTATATAAATAATAATAATAACTAATAAAGAAATATAAAACTAATTTGATATATTGAATGATAATATCATACTAAAATTATAAAATTAAAATTAACAATCTAGAATATAATAGTATTACAGATGTTAGAATACTTCTACATTATTAATACTTATATATTATTTATTAATATTAAATATTATTTTATTAATATTTATTTATTATATTTATAAAATTTGTTGTTTGATATAAATTTATATAATTAATATATTTATAAAAAAAATTATTTTACAATCCTATAAAATCCATATAAATTCATAAAAAATTCAACAAATTCGTAAAAATCCATCTAAATCGATTACCAAAATTCATCAAACTCAATTACCAAAATTCATCAAATTCAACGTAGACTCTGTAGATTTTTAAATCCACATAAATCATAGACTTTTTAAAATAAAAAAAAATCCATAAAAATACCGATTGAATATACTCCCTTAATATTTTTTAAAAAATCCATGGAAGAAAAAAATTGGAAGAATAATTTTTTTTCCATAATTAATCTATCAAAATCCATGTAAGAAAAAATTGGAAGAATAATTTTTTTCCATAACTAATCTATCTGTTTATTTGTTTTTAAATTACTATACTTTATATTTAATTAAAAAAAAATACTCATATTTTACATAATATTACAAAGAATACAGTGAGACACTCAAATCAAGTTAGAAGTAAAAAAGAGATTTTTATATTATATACCTACAAAATAATAATTTTCTAAAATTTATCTTCAATAAATAAATAAATAGTGGATGAAATGAGTATTATTAAATATGTTGTTTATAAATTTATGATATATATATTTTATGATACGGCAATCAAAATTAAGAGGTTTTGGAAGTTTTGATCTTGCAGTTTTTGATAAAAATAATTAAATTTTTAAATATATATATATATAAAACAATAAAAAGATATTCTAATAATACAAAAAATAAAATAAAATCTAATTTATTATTAAATACAACTTACAAGGCAACAGATAAAATAACCATATCTCCCTCATTTATTATATGCGGAGTTTTGACTTCATTAGTATGTACAATATTAGTAATTTTTTTTTTTTTTTCAAAATGGGAGCCGCTACTTCAAAGTGCACACTCCGTAAACTAGGCTAGACAGACAAGTCATACTAGGCTAACCTGTGTGGCAGGTGACCTGAATCATCTGATGCGTGGTTTGAACCCATGATCCAACCCTCGCACCACCGGCCGTCTTACACGACAAGTAACTTACTAACCTTTGTGGTGGCTGTAAACAACAACAATCCCAAAATCTAAATTTTACATTTTGATTTGGGATTTCAGATAGATATTTGTAAGATTTATGGTTATGATTATGATTACGATGATTCTGAATCCTGCAACAACTTTCCTCTCATCTGTTCACCCAACAATCCGCCCTCCTCTTCTTCATCTACCATCATCTTCTCACCAGTGGTTTCATCACCACTGCACCGCGGGAAAGGAAATATTAAACTCAAATATTCAAACCTTAAAAGGAACTGCACAACACACGCTCAAGAAATAAAAAAATAACATTTGTTTGTCGAGCCTAGTTTGCAGGGTATTAGGTTCGGCCGGGGTTTACCAGCGCGCTATCGGTAGCTGCTGCGGGTTCCCACGTTATAATAAAAAAAAAAAAAAAAAAAAAAACATACCTTGAATAAACAATGATCCCGATAGCCACAGAAACAAAGGCCACGTAATACATCCAATCCACCTGAAGAAAATGATGACTTTGAATCAATGTATGTATAATCATACTTGATCCCTATATTTACAGATTACTATGATCGGACCTTTTCGTTGTACGCAAATATTCGAATCAACACAGCCCACATATCTGCAGTGAGCAAAGACAGATTCAGCATGGTAGATCCGCTCATCTGCACCAAATTACACAAATCCTTCCTACCATCAATGCAAAATTCTAAGGAAAAATTGCAAAAAATGCCATGACACTTTTTTTTCTATTTTCGCAATTAAGGACATTATGTGTACTCCGGACATTATTTTCGCCCTCCGGCGCCGAAAAAATGGACGTGACCATTACGTGCGCCTTCTTCTTAGCATGGTCGGCGCATACGTGGACGCCGTTGCTGTGTTGTCGTCCGCGTGGGCCGTCGGACAGGTGACGTGAAATTATCATTCTTTCACTTTCGCAAATTAGAACATTATGTGTACTCTAAGTATTATTTTTGCCATTTTGTTCCGAAAAAAACAATTTGTTCTAGGTCGTTGGATATGTGACATGAAATTATTATTTTTTTAAAAAAAAATTATATATTTTTAAAATTTTAGTTTGGCCCAATTGGACCAAATTGCAAATAACTAATTGTACTAAATTGAAATAAAAAACTTAGAACAAACTATTTTTCCAGCACCGAAGGGCAAAAATAATACCCGACGTACACAAAATGTTCTAAACTGCGAAAGTGAAAGAACAATAATTCCACGTTATCTGTCCGACGACCACGCGAACGACAACACAGCAACGGCGGCGTCCACGTATGTGCCGGCTATGCCACGAAGGGGCACGTGCGTTTTTTCGACGCTGAACGGCAAAAATAATGCCCGGAGTACACATAATGTCCTAAATTGCGAAAGTGAAAAAAAAATATTCGAAAATGATAATTGACCTACATACAAGACATTTTTTGCAATTTTCCCTTTAAATTTAAATTTAAATGTAGGAGAAAATGAAAAATAACTCAACGGACTCTACTCTACAGAGTGGGACAGATTAGTAATATATGCTTAGATTTAGTACCTTCAGTAAGATGGGAACTCCCGAGTAAAATAGAAACATGGCCAAAGAAAATCCCACAAATGGAATCACCTGTACCAAACACCAAATTGTTTTAAAGTAATGCAATCATTTTACATGGGACAAAATTGATACATTAATAAGAACATTGGATAATCTATGTCAAAATCAATAAGAACATCAGAACTAGAGCACCATGAACTTCATTAATCGGCTTCCAACTTTCTTGACGGACTAGATATTGTTAGATATAATATTCTCACTTCTTTGTGGAGACCTCGACATAGACACTCCTTCGACTGCATATGTTCATTCAACTACTTAATGCAATCATGAAAACAGTCGTAAATTTTTCTAAGGAATATAGTAAGAATGTTGTCTAAAGAAGTGATTTCCCAGACACAATCAAGAATACTGGATTAGACGAGATATACTACTGAAAGTGGTTTTCAATGTTAACCAACAGCACACAATTTTCGTAGCATAAAGTTATCGATACTATCCATGGCCACTTCAATTCAACAGAAGGATTTGAATCCACTTAGAGATGGATTATATAAATTTCACAACCAGCATCAGAGTTGAGAACGAGACTCGACAATTTGGTCAAAAGAATGCTAGTAGCCACAGGTACCATACACACAGTTAATATGCCCCAATAATTACGAAAAGGAAGAAATTATTAATAATATGCATGTGCATGAGAGAGATAGAGAGCTACCGCCTCAGGTGACCAATGAATGGATTCAAGCTCATGGCGTTCGAGTATGCCTCTGCCTACTGTTAAGAACAAATATAGTTTCATGTCCAAAATCCATTAGAATACACTAAGGTTAAGTGATCGCCAGCAGGCCGAAAATAAAAATATGTCATTGCCAGCAAAGACAAAAGGATACATTTGAAAAGCACTGATAATGGCACCAAATATGCCCAAGAATGCCATTAGTTCAACCAAATCACCACTTTTAACAAAAAATTCCTGCATGGAACCAGAACAAAACCATCAGGCGGACGAAAATACCGATCTTGTGTGAGGCAAAAAAAAATGTTATTCTAACTTTGAAGAAACATTCCCAAATAATTACGAAAAGTCAAATCGAACAATCTGCAAGCACCACAATATTCATACGTCTGCATACCTCACTGACATTAGCAACAGCATAAAGAGTTGCCCCAGCAATTACAAGCAAATCACCTTTAATTGGGTCCACACCACCTGTAGCAATGACAATAACCATGTTCAGTCTGAAAATGGACAACAACCAGAAAGGACATAGAGAGCCAACTATGTGAATGTCTCAAAATAAAGGTGTATTTGTTTTTGTTTTAAATTTGAAGATTTTTTTAATGGAAAATAGGTTTAGAATGCAATACTTCAAATGGATGATACATCTTGGATATTATGTTTTGAATGGTAAATAATTTTTTGATGTGATGTTTTAAATGAAAATTAAGTATTGGATGTGAGGTTTTTAAAGGAGAAAAACATTTTACTTAAATTGCATTATGTGAAAACAATATCGGAAACACAAACAAATGTACTATTTTTGGATAGAAAAGGATTACATAGAAATTACGAAATAGAAGGAAAGAAGCACATTTGTCATGGGGATAAGCTAAAGGAGGTGAGATGTCAAGATATGACTTCCGGCTGTTTGAGATTAACTTTTCTTCTCCTCTGGTTCAGCCATTCTAATCGAAGTTAGCCAAACAATTCACTAATAGAAAATTCTTTTCTGCTCAAACAGAGGTTAGAAAGGTAGGCAACGGTACATCAGGCTGTCTGTCATTCTTTCTAATAGCTATCGCGACTAAAATATAAGGCATTGTCCATTGTCCACTAAAGCATTTATGCAGTCCTCGAGATCTCAGCATAACAAAATACAAGTAAAAAGACCTACCTATTAGAAACTTATGATTCAAGATCTACCATCATTACAATTATGGACAAAAAACTCAAGAATTTGAAATGCACTGCAACCAGGAATGTTTAAGCAAGTTCAACGGATTTATCATAAAATGCAAATGCACCACACACTTGGAGAATATTAATTTTTGTGAGACATTACCCTATAATCCGCTGAATGTCAGTGTGGAGATTAGTTATCTGACAAAGCTCTAATATGGATTAACAGAAGAAAAGTAAGTGCAAGAGAGCGACAATACTTACTTGTTCTATCTGCAGAATGCACATCAGAAAAAACAACTACTACAAGACCAACAATACAGATTCCTACACCAACAAATTTTTTGAATCTATAATATGTCTTCAAGAAGAACCAGGTAAGAAACAGAACACAAGGTATTGTCCAACAATCCAGCAGCATGATACTTGTGATTGAGGTGTACTGGTATGCCTTAACAACTGCCATTTCAAGAAAGAAATTTGTTATTATACAGAAAACAAAATTAGCCAAACTAATAAACTGCTTGATCAGGAATTCCTTCAAGTTTGTTCCTAATTCACCACCAACAATGAAGTGAAACCTTGTCCCAAAAGTGACAAACATTTGATTAAAATAAATTATCGTTCAATGCTATATTTATGTCGAAATTATACGGTATCACAAAGTACATTTTCAATTTTAAGTGTAGATATTATAAGAGTAAATGCAGGATCAGGAAACCTAAACAAAGAAATACCGCTTCCTACCTAGAAAAGCCAACACATCAAACAATCTAGAGGCAAGTTCAGCATACTAGAGAAAATAAAATAGTGTCCATGGATTATCCTTTCAGAAAATAAGGGTGAGAAATCTAGAATTTCACATAATCATCTGCTGAAAAAATCATACAAGTATTTGAACATTTATCAAGGCTTATTGGATGTGTTTTGGTGTCTTGAGAATATTAAAACATTAAAAGTGAAATAGAATTTGATATAAATAAGTGTTTGATGTGATGCTTTGCATAGAAAATAATTAAAGTATTAGTTTTGATTTTTCAAATGAAAATATCTGTTGTCTTTGTAAAAAAAAAAAATTCGAAGTGAATTGGTCCGCAGTAAAGAAGAACACATGGGTATTTACTTACCAAGAAAGTTTCCTTCCACATCAACTAATCCCAACAAGACATAGTAATACCATTTGGCCTGCTTAAAACAATTGAAGCGTGTAAAGGTCATGAAGTTTAATTCAATATCTAAGGCAGAATTTTCAGATTTCGACAAAAAGATGAGTGCGAAAACAATTTCTAAGAAGAAGAAGCAGGCTTTCTTTCAATATTGATAGGTGTGCTTGTCAAATTATGTGCATAGTAGAGGTTAATGTTCAGAAAATGTGACCTGACTGAGAAGCGGCGAAAATGATCAGAAAAAAGTACAAACTGAAGCAATAATTTTGGGATTTGAAAAGCAAAAAGTAAAAAGTTCTACTGTGTAAAAAAATTGAAGTCCTGCAATCATTAATGCAGAGAAGCTGAAAGTAATATTGTAAAGGAGAAACTGTAACTCGAATCGCCATTAGCAAATCAAACGCAAACATTTAGCAATTCCGGCCAATCAATTCCTCGAACCACCAAAAGAAGATTCAACCAGCTGACCTTGAGCGCCTGCCTCCGGTAGAGCATGATTCCCCCATAGACCAATGCCAACAGCACATAATTGATAAAAGACTGAGAAGTTGGAGCATCAATTCCTACAATCGAGTACCCAAAAATGAAACACAACACTTCCAAAACTAACAAAAAAAATAAAAAAATAAAAATAACGAACTACCTTTCCTGGAGAGCACAGAGGAAGAAAATCCAGTTGAAGCGTTGAGAAGCGATAGCAACTGTCCTAGGCCGAGGCCGATCAGCGTGGTTTTCTTAACCGAAAATTCCTTCCAGCGCATCGCCATAGCCACCGGATTCCTCCGGGAACTGCGCGAAGCAACTCTCCCCGGCCGATGAGATCTCAGACGGGTACAGGCATTGAGCAGCCGTTGAGCTCCGATCCAGTAACATGTATCTACGCTATACATTGACGTAGCTGTACGACTCTCAGCCGTATTTATACGCTCTACTATGTATGTAATCTACCCAACCGATCTCTCACACCTTGCATCAAATCAACGGTTCAGATTTCATCTGTTTGTTCGTCGTTTAGTTTGAACAATTTTTTTAAAACTTATTTATAGTCCAGTTGCTTGTGTTTTTTCAGTGGAACAAGTTTTAAATGATTCGGGTGTGTTTGTTTGTGGCTTTGAATTTGAATAATTGTATGATGTGATATAAATAGGTGTTGATGTAATATTTTTGAATGTAAAATTGATTTTTAGTATAATATAAAAAATGAAAAATAGGTGTTTGATTTGATATTTTTGAAAAAAAAATTGAATGAATAATGTAAATCCAATCCCTCAAACAAATACACCTGAAATATACTCCCTCCCCCTCCTCTCGATTAGAATTGTCTAAAATAATTTCAATATTTTTATTCTTTTATATATATATATGAATTATACAGATAATACTCTATCTTTTTTCATTTTTAATTTTTATCATATGAATTATACTGATAATACTTTATCTTTTTTTTTTTTTATTTTTAATTTTTATCCGTGGTCTAGAAGAATATGATTTTCTATTTTAGTAGCTATAATATATATCTAAAATAACAAATATCATTATTTTTAAATTTTATTACAAAAATATATATTTTATATTTTTACACATATAATAAAATTAAAACACATTTAATACCTCGTTAATCTAATACCTATCTACCTCACTCTTACTCGTTACTCACTCACATTGGCTTCGATTAGGGGTTATAATCCTCGCAATTTTTTTTGCCGTCCCCGTCGTCCTTCTTTTTCCGCTCATTTCGCCGGTGATGTCGCTCGCTCCACATTCTTCTATGACGGCATAGGGTTGTTCCCCTCGATAGAGATCGTTTGCAGATGAGTTTTCTGAGTTGTTTAGCTATTCTGATGATTTTTCTGAATCGGCCACCGTCAATGCCTTTTCTGTATATGATTTCTCTGGATCTACTACGACAGACGCTACTCTGATAGAGATCGTTTGTAGATGAGTTTTCTGAGTTGTTTCGCGATTATGATGATTTCTCTGAATCGGCCACTATCAATGCCTTTTCTGTATCTGATTTCTCTGGATCTATTACGACGGACGCTATCCCATGGTGGTCCATAGATTCGCTACTGATTCGGAGTTGGGCCTGGAACCAGAGGTCGAATTCCAGTGTTGCCCTTGTTTGAGCCAAGCGATCGTTGTTTCAGATCCCTTCTTCGTCCCCAAGGTAGGATCGAAGCGGCTCCATTGAGCTGCTCTTTTACCCGTGGAGTTGTCATCAACATGCTTTGTATATACTGCCCTCTCGCTGTCGAGCTATCAGAGTACTATATCGGAGGTTAGCGAATTTCATTTTCTTTCAAACTATGGAAATAGATGTTGTTTAATTTTGTTGACCTTAAAATTTTTTGTGAACATACTGTAAGTGTGATTGTTGATTTTTGTTAATGAACTTCTTCGTTTGTTGTTGTTTGTAGGCAAAATTGAAAATTATTTGGGTAAGTGATTTACTATCCTACATGTTGGTTGGTATGATCTCTACAGGTGAGGTATAATCCGATATACTTGTTGCGAAATCTGTGACATAGTTGATTGTCCCTGATTATGTGTATGTGCAAAAAAATGTGTGGCAAGTAATTGTTGGTTTTTGGTGTCAATAGTCTGAGATGATGAAATTGTTAAACCACTGTTGATTCGAATCAGTATGTGCCTTACCGTTGCATAAAAAAGATTTTTTTTAGATTTATACCTATTAAAAAGTCATCGCTCGTTCAACGTGAGCACAAACTCTTATTGGATTCAATACATTTTTGAGTTTAGGCATTCAATGATCTATCCATTGAGAGAATGCTTTAATGTTATCTGTTGTACTTGATGATGATTTTATAATTTGAGAGCAAAATTCTTGTGTCTCTGAATTACCTCATTGATCATGAACATGTCCAATACTAAAATGAGATGGCCTGAAAATATTTACTACCCACGCTCGGTGATGATTTTATAATTTTAGAGTGCTCAAAAAATTTAGGTGCAAAACATAGCAGGGTAACACAACCATAACTAAATTTAAAGAGATTAAATTACAACTGCAAAGTATTGTTTCAATGCAATATTTTGTGAGTTGTAATGAAACTCATATAAAAATGGAAAGTAGTTACAAAAACTTTCCTATAGCTACTAATTACAAAAGACATTAATGCTTACAGTGATTAGTTCTTCGAAACTTTATGCTTCATTTGCTTCTATTAAGGTATCATGGGATGCCTTGATCAACTCCCGATAAATCTCTAAGTTTGTCGGGAGTGTATTGTTTCTTATTATCGTGGACTTACCAATATGAGGAATCTTGTAGTTGTTTCTTGTTTTTTCGTCATTGTACTTAACATTAAAAATATCCTTACATTTGTATAATTTACTTAACAAATTCATTGTATAAGTATTATAAGAGACTTATTATTTTTATCTTTTTATATTAATTTGTATTACGTATTAATGTAATAATTAATATTAATATAATAAAAATATAACACATAAACTAATAACACATGATATAATTTTATACAACACATGCATAAGTTGATTATATCATATGATATAGTCATGTATAACACGTTAAAGTATAAACAACACATCTTTATCATATATTACACAATCTGTTGTTTGAGATAAAAACACTTATTATTTGTATATTTTATTGGTGATGATTGATGCAAAAATCAACACCGTAATAGAGCCCAAATCAGCACCGTAACCCCATCGATAAAAAAACATACTTTCCAACACCGTAATAGCGCCCAAATTAACACCGTAACCCCATCGATAAAAAAACATACTTTCACCTGGACGGAGATAGTATATGTGCATATTATTTAATATTTTTAATAATCAATTATTTAATAAGAAAAAAAAAGAACAAATTACAAATAAATAAATTTATAGTATCTTATTTTAAAGCTAAAATTTGTATTTATCAATATTTTTATTTTTATATAAAATATTATTTTCACCCTCCACCTTTCCTCTGTTCATATTGTTGATTTTGTCTAAGGATAGATAAATCTATTAAAAATATCGAAATATTGATTTATCGTACTATATCGTACCGAAAATATAAAAAAAAAAATTTGTATATCGAAATTTTTGGTACAGTATCGGTATGAATTTTCAGAAAGTTCGATATTTTGATATTATACCGTACCGATAATATTTTAATTAAATAATTTAATTATTAATATAAATATAAATTTTTTATTTTTTAAAAAAGTTTATCCAACAATAAGTCAGTAACTAAGGCTAAGGGGTAAATTTAGCAGAAAAACTGTATCCATAAATTCTCAATTCTCCTCCAAATTACTTCACGCACAGTCACAAACACAATACCAGACATGACTATGCATGCCGTCCGCCGCACCCACAGACCTGCTGTCCGTTCGCCGGTCGTCTGCCACCCGCCTACCTCGCCGGACCAGCTCACCTCGCCGTCTGACCACCAGCCGCTGACCGTCCTTTTGTAAGACATAGAGAAATTTTCTTTTCACCAGATTATGGGGCTATTTATATCATAAAATATTTTTCAAATTACCACTTTTAGCCAAATGAAATCTGCTCAGAAAGTTGTCTTTCTTTTTTTTTTTCATTCCTCGATTGGTACCGTATTCAATTTTCGACATATATTATTGGATAACATTAAAATTATACACCAAGTATAGATATATAATTATATGTGTATTACCCATAACCCATGTTTAAATAATAATTATAAAATTAACAATAATGAGAACTATTTTTTCCTCTAAAAACAAGAAGAAAAAAAAAGTGGAACAGTGACTAATGGTTTAAGCAATTGAATTTTTCGGAGCTTTTAACAATGATGAAAGGGAAGTGGCATTCCACGATTCCTGCATTTTTTATTTGGTTATGGAGTGGAGCACTCATATAAATTTTTTTCTCTAATTTTTATGTTTTAATATGATTTCTGCTTATTTTACTTTCTGAGGGTAATTATTATCTTTTTATTATTATTTTTTTCACATAGTATATTAACTATATTTTTTATTATTTTTTTTCATAATAGAGTTTGAATCTTCAGGTTTTTTTTTCAACTCTAAATAGTGAGATGTTTGATGAGTACTCAAGCCGAAAGCGAACAAAGAAAACTTAACAAAGTTCCCTGTAGCTCCTAAACAAAGAAATCAATATTGGTTGTATTGTGAACATTAAGCAATGGAAACAAGCAAGCGATCGGTATTTTCAAATATTCTAAGGCTGAGATTCCTGTTACTCATGGAAGTACGAGTGGGTTGAAAAATCATTGAATGAAAATGTGTAAATTAAGTCCATTGTACGAAGAAATTGGAAATGAAAGAAAAACAATGTGTTTTGATGAATGAATATCTAGAAATTGGGCAAGAAAGTTCATTAGTTTTACATTCCTTCGGTTAAAAAAAGTGTGTATTGAATCATTTTTTTTTATTGAAAATAATAACATTTTAAAATTTTTTTATTTTTATTATTGCAAATAGTAACATTTTTGTTGTTGTTGTTGCAAAAAAAAAATGTACATTCAAGCTTGTTGAGTATGTGATTAGTGATGAATTATCCTTCCGAGCAGTTGAAGGAAAAAGATTCATAAGCTTTGTGCATGAGTTACAACTAAGATTCAAGCTTCCTGGTCGATGAAATGTTGTAGGTACGGTTTATGATTTATTCTTAGAGGAGAAATCTAAATTGAAACTTGCAATAAATGGTCAAAGAGTGAGCATCACGACTGACACTAGGACATCCATTCAAAACATTAACTATATGGTGATTACGTCTCACTTTATAGATAGTGGATGAAAATTGCACAAGAAAATTATTAGTTTCACTAAAATTACTTGTCATTTTGGAAAAGAGATTGGAATAATTGAGAGATTGATGGATAGAAAAAGTTTTTTCAATAGTAGTTAATAATGCATCTTCTAATGACACTGCTATTGATTATTTAAAAAGGAGACTGAAAATGAAAGATATTGATGTTTGATGAAAAATATTTGCATTTGAGGTGTTCGGCCATATTCTTAACTTAATTGTTAAGGATGGTTTGAAAGAACTTGATGCATTGATTAAATCCATCAGGAATGCAATTAATTTTATTCATTCTTCACGTTTGAGATTGAGTAAATTAGAAAGTTTGCAATTCAAACTAAATTTTCTAGCCACTTTTAATTTTTATTTTTATTTCAAATATTAATATATATATATATAAATTTATTAAAATTTAAATATTAATTTTAAAAATTGGGCCGGGCCGGGTACGACCCAACCTTCATGAGCCCTAGCACGGCCCGGTTCATTAACTGCCAGGCCAGGCACGACCCCAAAATTTTCGAGCCTATTTTTGGAGGCCCAAGCACGATTTTTTTGTGTCGTGCTCGGACCGGGTTTATTTTTGCCGCCCCTAATGCTACTTATAAGATGTTTGATGTTGCATTGAAGTATCGAAGGGTGTTTGATAGGATAATAGGAAAATGAGTGTCTTTTATGAATTATATTTCTGAAAAGAATGAAAAAGACAAAGAGAGAGCAGGGCCACTGAATGAGGAGGATTAGGAGAATGCCAAGGCCTTTATACACTTTTTGAAGAAGTTCTATGATGCCTCTTTGGAATTAAATGCATCCAAAACTCCGGTTGAAATTATATAAAAAAAAAAAAAGGTGCAAGATCTTTGAGATCCAACACTTAAAAAAGTTGCAAGTGCAATGAAGTTGAAATTTAATAAGTATTCGGGGAGTTGATATAACATGAATCCTTTGATTTTTATTGTCAATGTTTTGGATAAAAAAAAAAAACTTCAGGTGATTAAAGCGAACATCAATATATTGAAAGGAAGTTCTCAAAAGATTCAAGAAATTATTGATACTGTTAGGAATAATTTGACAATTTCGTGGACGGAGTATAAATTAATGAATGAAATTCAAATGCGGGGACATACTATGAATCTAGAGTGAAATAGTGGAGATGGTTTTTTCAACGGTGGTGGTGGCCTTTGTAATGAATTATTTGAATGTGTGAATGCACAAAATGAAGAAGATTATCTTGAAGATATATTTAATAAAGTGGACAAATACTTGGTGGATGATATTGAGAAACGATCTAATCCATGCTTCAATCTACCTGAGTGGTGGAAGGGAAGTGAAACTAAGTATCTATTCTTTCAACCATTGCAAAGAATATTTTTTCAATTCCAAATTCAACGGCCTTTAGTTTGGGAAAACGAGTTGTGGATCCTTTTACAAGTAATTTAAGTTCTAAAATGTGGAATTATTGGTGTGCACTAGTGATTGGTTGAAAGACGATGAGATAAACTTCTATAAGGATCCAACCGATGATAATCTAGAATTTTATAAAGAAATTGAAAAAATCGAAATAGGTAAGAGATTAAATTAATAATATTATGTTTAAGTAATATTCATTTTAAATTATTTATGTTTGTACAATGTATTAATAAAATTTTTATGTCTCTTTTATAGGTACAAAAAATATTTAAGATCATTCTCTAACTTCGATTCTGGCTAAAGAAAGTTCGTCTCTCTAATAAACTTATAAGTTTAGTAATTTTTATTTATTAAGTCTATTAAAATATTTTGATGTTTCTTGATGAAAAATTTCATGTATTATTGTTAAATGTTGGCGATGACCATGATAGGGAGTTGAAGTATTTAAGTGTTGCTTTTTCAAAGTAAGTGATCCTCTTATTTGCAAATTAAGTTATCTTATTTTAAATTCATTCCTCTATTATACAAAGTTTGATTGAACTGATATTTTTAATTCTTTGGCAGCATTGGATGGTAAGGTATTGGAGTTGTGTTTTCAAATTTTAAATTAGATGCTCAAGTTGTATTTTTAATTGAATTTATTATTTGGATATTTCTATTTTTTTGGAGTTCGGGTTTGTGGAGAATTTTGATGCAATTGAAAGGGATTATGGTCAAATACTCGAACGCTGAAATTCCTTGAAATTTCGAAGATGTTTTTTTTTTTTTTTTTATATATTTGATTATGGTCGAATATGAATTTTGTATGGAATGGCCGAATGTGATTGATTTGTGTTGTTTGAAATGAGATTGTGGATTGTTTTTCGAATGGCCCACTGATCGTGGCAATGGATTGATTTATGATGTTTGGAAGAGATATATATTATCAGTTATTTGATTGTATTGATTATTTCTTAAGATTGTTTAGAAATTTTTTTAAATTTTTTAAAGATAAATGCCAAAATTTTCGGTATAATCGGTAAATACTGGTATCGTACCGAAAATTTTGGTATATCAAAAACTTCGGTATGGTTTCAGTATAATTTTTAACATTCTGAATAGTTCGAAAGGTATACAGTATGACCGTTTCGGTGCGGTATGCCTAATTATGTCCTCATATTTTCTATCTTATTTTATTTTTAAAAAGATTACAAATGCTAATTATATTTTACTTTTTAATATATAATTTATTTAATTTTAATTAAACTAATTATTTTTACTAATATATATTGAAATTATTTACTTCTTTCGTCTCATATTTCATATCAATTTTTTTTAAAAGGATTACACTTTAATCAAAATTTATAATTTATAATTTTTTAAAATCTTAATTTGACTAATTGATTATTTTACATTTAAACATAATTATTTATATTGTACTCTAATTAATTTTACTAATATATTCTTAATTATTTACTAATCGTAATTATAAACTCTCGTTATTTAGAGAAATTACTTCATTTTTTTTAATTGTATACTTTTAATTATTTTACTTTAATGTGTGTTTCTTGAGGGTGAGTTTGAGAAAAAATTTTTGAATTTAATATTAAAATACTATTTGATAAAATATTTTGTGAAAAAAAAAATCAAAAAAAATAGAGTCTAAATATTAAAATTTAAGAAGATTTGGCAAAAGAAACACTCTAATCCAAGTATTTTGGAACAAATTCAAGAAAGAAAATTTTGCAAATTTGTGAAGGCTACGGTGACTCTTCGAGTCAATATTTTTATTTAGATAATCTTATAAGATATTATAGAGAACTGCATTTTTTTGTTCATCGAAAAATACATTAATTTACTTCTAATATAAATTTTCTTTTGTAGTGTGTACTTTTTTTTTTTATAATAAAAATAATAAAAAAGTATAACTTTTTCCTATGAAAAATAAGTTTATTTTTTTTGTCATTATAGACAAAATAATAGTAATAATAACAATAATTTTTTTTTTTTTTATAATATGATAGATGGAAGAATTAGAAATATCTGTATTCTGACTAGAGTTCTCACTTCACTTGTGTTGGGCAAATATTATATAGAAAGCTCAACTGATTAGATCCGCAATCAAAGTGCAACAACTCAATATTTTATTTCAAAACAATAGTTTCATTTTTTTTTATTTTCATCCGTCTCAAAACAATAATTCTATTTTAAGAAAGAATCATATCACTTTAAAACTATCTCTATTATTTTATTTTAAAAAAGAATCATATCACTTTAAAACTATCTCTTTTCTTCTTTTTTTTTAATCATTACTACATAAATAATATTATTTTTTACACATATACATTCACAAGAATATTTTAATCTTTTTACTATAAAATTTACGTTCACTTTCAACATAATATTATTATTCTTTAAATTTCATATCGAAAAAAAAAAGTAATATTCTTAAAATTCGGAACCCATTACATTCTCAAAGACGTCAAAGAATCACTAGTATTGTTCAATTTTAATTTGAAATTAATTACTTTTATTTATTTAAAGTTTAATTGAAATAATATTTTGATATAAATCAATATATATATATATATATATATTGAAAAGATATTGACAGTGTTACAATCCCAAAGGCACCAAAGAAATTGTAGAAAATTGGTAAATATAATTGAATTCTCACTTGTGTTTGTGTAATGATCTGTGGAGTTCAAACCAGTATTATCCTTGAAAATGTAGGGAATAAGCTTGCTTATATCCCTAAGATGTCAAAAAAACCCAAACAAACAAACAAAAAAGGGTTTTATATTCCTAAAAGCATGCATCAAAGAAGAAATTACTAGCAACATCCAAGATAAGATTATCAACACAATAGTAGTAGAGAATGAATGAATGACTGATAGATAGATAATTCTGCAATAAACGTGTTAAAATATATTTAGAAGCAATATATTATATTTATGATAGTTGTCTTATTTAAGAGATTCGTAGAACTCCTGTTTTATCTAGACAATTTGTATATCACTGAGATAGAGAATTTCAGTTTCATGTTCTAACGGAACAAAAAGAAACAGACTTCGGGGAAAATAAAGATCTCAATCATTATTCTGTACAAAGTTATATGCACACATTAATGTAATCAATGTAAAACAACAAATTACTTATATAAAGGCACAAAGGAAAAGTAGTAGTAGAAACTAGTAAGATCTTGTTCACCTATGGACTATTAAACAAATAACATGTTACCCGAAAAAGCCCTATTTGTAACATATCATATCCTATCTTATCCTATCCAAGTCGTGTCTCGGGCAATGCTAATTCGCATGTTACGCCAAAGATTGCATGCATCTCATCTCGTACACAAACCGGATAAAAAAATATTTCATGAAACGGAAATAACAAACAAGTCGTCTAGTCTGAACAGCAAAACAATGCATCTGCAGAGTATTACATAAGATCACACAAAACAATACAAAACTGAGGAACAAGGTTTAACTCTCACATTCCAAACAATATACAATATCACATTGTACCGGGAACTTTTAAGGGGCACACACAAAGAGCGAGCAACGACCAAAAATTATAGTGCAGTGGTAAATGAGAACAATACAAAAGCCTTGAAAAGAAAAGAATGAATACACGCCAATTATACAGACAGATATTCGACATTAAAGTTACAAGAGAAACCAAACCTTATATAGCTTGCCAGATTTGTTTTGTATATGATGCTGCTGCTGCTGTAAGACCACAGTTTTATGATCAACTCTTTTTTTTTTTTTTCTTTTTCTTATAAGTAGCAGAACTATACGGCACTGCAGTTTCTGCTCATCGATACCCGCCACCTTGTGGGTGTTGAGGGTAACCAGGCCCAGCCATATGATTATAGCCCCCAGCAGGAGGATACCCCATCGGCTGTTGCATGTTCATTCCCTGGCCCATACCCATGTTCATTCCCATACCCATATTACTGGGTGGCGCATTCATTCCCATTCCCATACCCATACCCATACCCATACCCATCCCCATTCCCCGACCAACGGGTTGGTTCATTCCATAGCCTCCCATGCCATAGCCAGCAACAGGGCCGCCGCCGCCACCCATGCCCATATTTACACCAGGATTCATCATTGGATTTGGAGGAGCACGGAGAGCACTAGCACCAGCACGGCCCATGCCTGAACCGGACCCCATGGCTTTGCCCATGGTAACAGTTGATGTTGCTGTGGTAGGGGTCTGTTTTTCCATCCTTTTCTCCTTGCGATTTATAGAATCAAAGTCAACCCCAATATCAGCCAACGGATTTGCTTTTGCTGCACAAGGAAGACATTACTTATCCAACGAAGAAAATCTAGATTCAATGGAAATATAAAGTTTTTAACTGTGAGCACTTACGTCCAGAAATATTCAGATCAACCAGTCCGCGGCTCAGTGTGTCTGCCCAAACAGCTGATTTTGTCTCAAACTTGGATTTCGATGGTTGAGGAGCCGTAGCAAGGGCCATTGAAGATGAACTGCTTGATACTGGAGCCACATAGCTACTAGATTGCATCTGTGGAGCTTGAGCACCCATTTGTGAAGTGGCAGAAACTCCCATGCTCGATTGAGAAGGAAAATTGTGGTGGGTTGGGGTTCCAGTAGAGCCAGGAGGAACCATATAACCAGAAGCCGGGCGTGCAGATAGAGACTGGGAATTGTAAGTACCATAGAAGTTGGGATTTTGCATGTTCGGCTGCATGGAACCACCTTGAGAATGAATACCCATTTGTTGTGCTTGACCAGCTTGAAATGGAGAGTTTGAAGGCATCATTTGGGCTGGAAAACCAGTTTGTGAAACAGGTTCTACTGAAGAAGAATATCCCATATGCGGTGAAGGCGGAACATGTTGAGGAAAACCGGAAGGTTGCCCAGTTTGGGGTTGGAGACTGCTTGGCATTGCATTGTGGCCAGTATAAGATGACAACTCTGCTTGCGATGTCTGTTGATGGGTTTGATAAGGAAAACCATTGTGAGGAATAGATTGGCCACTTGGAACAAGATAACCAGCTTGTGTTGATGGTTCAGATGGCGGGAGAATGTCTGCTAATATGTCAATCTCCTGGCTAGGGGCTGACAGCTCCTGCTTTGGAAACTGAGCGGCTGTAGGTTGTTGGACACCAGAAGGACCAGATGACATGAAAGATGCATCATTGAAAGTTCCACCAAATTCACTTGTTGCATTCGGAGGAGCTGGCTGGGGTACGCCAACTTTATGACTTGAGTTTGCATTGAAGGAATTAGCAGCTGCAGTGAACTGTGACGGAGCCGATTCATTTTCTGTTGAAGGAAGAGCTTTAAATGGACCATCCCCAAATGGATCATCAAAGGGCTGCAATAAAGGCAATACATTTCATTAGGAAAACATTACAATGTTCCGGTACAGGAATCCAAAGCTGTCAATGAGGAATCATGTCAAATTGAGATAATAGGAAGTTTGAATTGTTCAAAATATTTGTTATGCACAAGACCATAAGATAGACAACTATAAACTAGTTTGCTAATATAATTGCACACGGACACATCAGGATAACAGCATGCTGTATATCGATATAAAACAAAATCAGGGGAAAACAAAAGGCGGATCTGAGAAAAAGCAAAGTAATCATTTGTCTGATGTCAACATATAAAATTCCCTATAGCATTTACCAGAGAGAGAGAGAGATACAGCAAACAAGGGATATAGTAGAAAGCCAGACCAAGAAAACTAAGGACTATTAAATTGTGATCGTCAGGATGACAATAATGATATCAAGGCATAACACATTTTACAGTTTCTTGGTATCTCATGTCAAATGTAAGCAGGAGAGACTATTTTCAAAGTTGAAATATAGATGAGGAAACAGGTCTAGTAGTACCACCCAAGCATGAGTTTCAGATGGTGAAATTTGTTAATATAACACGCATTCCAACACATTTTCAAGGATGGGTAAGGAATAGATCAGCATCATAAATTCTCAATAATTTCTTGAATTTCACATTGAGAAATCGTCATTGAATGCCACACAATTCTCCTCATTAAACAAGACTCAAAACTTGTTCCCAGAAGACTATAAACTATTAAGGAATAAAAAGAAGAATCAATGGAGAGTATACCAGCCAGCAAACATGCCAACTAATCATAATGCCTAAATCGACCATGCACAGAAGATTGCATCCACTAATGAATAAACCGGGTGAATGAAATCGATGCTAATATCACCTGCATATTACCTGATTTCCAGCTGGTGTAGCTGCTGGTGCAGCATCATATGCAACCCCGGAATTAAAGCTTGCTGAGCCATTAGCTTCAGTGGTCATGGTAGAGTGACTAACAGGCACAACAGACAATGCATTCGGGGAAAAAGCATCAGACAATGAGCCTAACAAGTCCATTTCTGCAGCAGCCACAGGAACAGTGGTACTTGTAGTCGGGGAAGCTATTAAAAAAAATTAAAAAAGAAAACTAAGAATGAGCCTTGAAACATATGACTGCATACGACTACGATAAGTTGAAATGAGAGAAATTACAGTCAATCTGAAAAACCCGTTAATAAACATTACCAAAGATTTTGAATGGTTTTGAGAAAGCAGCTACAGGAAACAAATTTCATATATGAATCAATATTATAGGCCACAACCACAAGATTTGAAAGACATACAAGAAGTTTTGAGTTGAAATGCATGTTAAAACTGAACAATGAGTGCATATTTCGTAAAAGTACATCAACGCATCATGCTCCCAAAATACAATCAAGTTTCACTGCACAGTTGAAGAACTGAAATTTAGTACCAAAGCAATACAGACACCTCAGTTCTTCAATTATTGATAATTTCACTTTTAAGCATTTAGCTGTGCCATAATGCTAGGATCATCAACATTACAATAAAAATATTAGCTAAAATCAGTTTCACATTATAAATACCATATAAACTATGAACTAACAGGATAATGTTCATTATGTAATCTCCTAAAACCTTTTCAGGTTTCCAAATACTATATAATATCTGAAGAAAGTATGAAATGACCCTTTAGAGAAATAAAAGTAGCTTAATTCACCTTTTCCCATGTTCATGATAGAAATTTATCAATCATTCACTCGATATGATTGAACAGGCAAACAGAACAACAAAACAATTAAAATGCATAGAATGGATGTTTGTAGAACCTTCAAGTGACCACATCATATGAAAGTCAACAAGCCTTCCAATCACTATCATTACCATTTTGAAAAATACTCATTAAATGTTCAAAGCTCATCTTCACAATTATAAAATTTTGGATAGCCTAGCTGGGTGCTCCTAATTATCCAGTTTTAAGTAATAAGTCAAACAAACAAAAATTTTACTGTATAGATTTCCAAGACCATGTTAAGAAGCACTGGGGATAAAAAATGGCTCAATTTTACAAACTAGGTCCACTACACTAAAACGGAGTAGAACTATAGGATACAATAAATATCATCACTTCTCTGTTTGGAAGGTAAGGAGATTTTTCTTATAACCTATAATGTAGCTATAAAGATTTAGGAAGCAGTAGCAAAGCACTGCTACTCAACCTAGACCAAAAGAACCAAAAATAGCCCATTAGCCACTAATAATAATACCCCATCATTCCTCTACAATTCAGCATAAAGATTTAGGGAGTTTGATCAAGCACCTACTGAACCTATATCAAAAGAACTAAAAACCCCATTAGCCACAAATAAGACCACACAATTCAGCTGCAATTGAGTATAACTTCTTACCTGAAGGGGGCCCTCTTGGATCAAATTCATCGAAGCTATCAAATTCCTGGTAGCTATGCTGAACAGCAGATGTCGGAGGAGAAATGGTAGGTCCAGACACTGAAGTAGAAGCAGGAGCAGGTGGGGAAGCAGGGGCAGCGGTTGGAGCTGCAGTAGTGGTAGAATGGCCATCAACGGATTCTTGAGGTGCATTTGGTTCCTTATCCCTGTCAAGACAATGAACTTAGAACCAATTCCAGCTCATGGGCAAGTTAATGGACATAGATTATTACCTGTCATTATAGCTAGGGCTGCGACCAGCATTAACAGCATCATCATAACTTGGAGGAGCACCAGAACTTTGACCAGAATATTTAACATCAGCCTTCTCACCCATCGTACTGACGTGGAGATTTAACAAATCATGCAGCTTAAATCAGTCATTTTTATAGGGACAAAAATAAAGAGATGTGTCGAAACAGCTCACTAAACCTACCTTCCTTCTTGAGGATGATCATCTTCTTTACCCCCACTTCCTCTGCAAACAATGAACCACAAGTAAAAAAATTACTTAATAAATGCAGTATTGACAAATTGTGCAACATATATTATGAAATGTCTAAAGAAAAACTGAGAACAGAAAATTTTGGTAGCTCAAGATCCATGAACATGCAGGGCTTGTTAATTGAGACTACATTTTGTGACTTCACTTAAGGCTTATTCAATTGAATGCTCCATTTAGTATGTAGTATTAACTTCCTAGGTATGTGCCATGAAATGGTAGGGTGACAGTGGATTAAGGATCTGGAGGATTTCGAGCTCTGATATTTGCTTCTGCAACATCATTTAAGATAGAAATGCAAACACTTCTCAAACATTCACTTGTTACTGTACTGCTATATTTGAACCAATACAATGACGATGATTTCTCAGCATTTAGGAGTGGCCCTAAAAGAGGCCAGATCAGTCTGACCTGCAATGACTCCATCACACCATCCGCAGAAGACTAATTTTCTTCAATGGCCGTCAAGTACTTTTCAATTCACATGCAGTTAATCATATAATGATTGAATCAAAACAAACAGCTTAAGGGGTTAAAAACCCAATATAGTTATAAGTCTTAAATTTAAACACTTTGGACTTATTGGCCCACAGTTGAATTCAACCAAGTCTGTTTCATAAGTAAAGCATGTCAAATTGTCAACCGCAATCCAAGGAACATATCACTTAACCAGAAATGCATATCACATAAAGAATCAACTGAAAAATGTAAAGCAACTGCTTCAGTTCTATAGTATTGAATACAACTACTTATTGCCATCTAGTTTCATAAGAATTCTTAATATCCTAGTAATCATTTTCCACCCTTATCATTCTTAAGGTAAAGCCTTAAATATGTGCGCACTTAGAAAACTTCACCTCATAATCTGATTAGAATTGGGGTTATAAAAATTAGACAAACCTTGACGATTGTTGGCCATCATCCTCATTTGCATTATTCCTATCTCGATCAGCACTTCTCGAATTGTAGTTATAATCATCATTGTTTTGACTTCTTCCTCTGTAGTCATCATCCCTATATCCATCTCGGCCATAACGCTCTTCATAATCCCTACCATACCTCCCTCCCTCGCGGCCATATGAATCTCCATACCGACCATATCTATCATCATCTCGGGAACCCCATTCTTTGTCTCTTCCATTGCCATTCCGGTCATCATCCCGGTACCGACCTTCATAACGATCATCGTCATACTTGTCGCCATACCCTCCATATCCCCCAGAACCTGGCCGATACATACTACCTGGGGAAGCACTGTGATACCTGTTTGAAAATAATTATAAATATGTACCTTCATATGTTAACCTAATGATCGTTCATATAGTGCCTACAAAGAACTATTGAACAATATAGAAGAATGAAACAAATTGCAAAGAAAATTATTGACTACAGTTAACACTATTATCCTGAATAAATAAATAAACAAAATACTTGCATACAAAATAGTTAGCTTGCAGTCCCAGTTGCCACAAATAAAGAAGATTTATGTTTTAAAGTCATTGAACTGATCAAAATATGTTATTCTGGACACAATTAAGCATGGACAATCCAGAATAGAAGAATTCTCAGAGAAGCTAAATAGATACATATCATAGTTATTCTTGAAAAAAAGCATAAAATTATTTGAAACTAGTCCTTGTGGAAAAAAGAAAAGAAAAAAAAAGAGAGAGAGAGAGAGCAATTTTCCTCGCACCAACTTCTCCTCTCTCTCTCTCTCTCATTACCAACAAAAGAAAGCTTGATTGCTAGATTAAATGGATGGATAGAAAATAGCCCATCCAAATCCCTACCTCACATAAATTTAAAACCAAATAATGGATTTTTATGTTTCTGCTGGCAGTGAAAGCCCAAGCATCAACAACAGATGAAGTGGCTATGTTGATGCAAAGAAGGATATACCAGTAAGAAAACAAACCATCACTTTAAATTTAAGTATAAAAGTAACAGAAACAGGATTTACTAATGGCAAGTTTTTTCCTATTACAGCCAAAGAAAGAAGGGAACTCTTTTCATCTTTTTATTAATGCTAATATAGGATGCAAATAAAAATAAAAAATGACAAAGGCAGCCTCAAAAGGGCAGGTAAAATAGCTGGAAAGCTCATCATAAATATGGCAAACACGGAGTGGAACAAAACTTCCATTTTTCACTTACTTATCCCTATTAGCAGCAGCCTTCTGGCGAACTTCTTGTATCCTTTCCTTGTCATTTACAAGAACTACAAGACTTTGAGATTTCTTTCTAACATTGCTTCCCTGGTCTTTCCCACTGGAATCGATATATTGAAAATCTGACAATGTCTATCACAGGCAGAGGGGGGAAAAAAAAGGATAAAGCCACTCATCAACCTTTATTTCTTTAAACTCGGAAACATAAAATAAACTAAAAAACAACAGATAAAGAAACTAACAGATATTTGATATGCATGTTCCCTGATGTCATCTATAACTCGTTCAGATCCATGCCCCACCAAGTACTCCAAAACAGTCAAAGCCTACAGAAGGAAGAAAATCATAACTTGTTAACAAATTATAACAGAAAGAAATCAAAGATTTTGAAAATTGTGGAAATCACACCTTGTATACATGCCGCCAATTCTTTCCAGTATCATTTATACGCTTCCAGATTACTGACATAATCATCTGATATTCATGGCTGTTGAAACAAGAAGTATGAGTGCCAAATAAATTTAATATGATCCCCACGAGTACTCTAACCTCAATAAACTTACTAGTTTCTAGAAGCATGTGCAATTTCAGCAAGAATCGATCCATGAGGGCCCCAGGGCTCATTGCTAGTCGCATCAAGAACCTGAAAATGGAAACAAAGAGCCACTGAACACCAACAGAAACACTAATACAGCTCAAAAGATGCTTAGATATAACCAACAAAAACTCATTCTATCGTGAATTATGTTCTAACATCATTCCAGAACCTGAGATATCAGATGTCCAACCACCCACCCCACACCGCCTCACAAACCTCTCTCCAAACATTAACACACTACAGATTGATCCTTTGAGATCAATTAATACACATCCAGACATTCATCACATTCCCCAATACTCGTCCAAAATTGCTTAAAATCATTTTCATGGATCTCAGAACATGAAAGATAGAATTGGAATTGGCAATGCAATAAGAAAGAAAAACAAAATTATCCACCTTCTGTTCAATCGAAGGAACTTTAAGAACTTTCTTGTTGACCCCTCTCTTGCTGCAAGACAGACATAGAAGATTCATAACAAGTGAATGACAAGTGATATGAAATTATGAGTAAGACGACATATATCAAATGGTCAGTATTAATTACTACCACAATTAACTAAAACATAAGTGTTTTTACACAACAAAGATTTCTCAAGCTGGATACATTAACTTGAGTAACAAAGGGAATATGGCTTTTCGAATTTCATCGAAACTCACATGTCACGAACAGTTTGATCGATCGCCTTCTTCATGTCACCCTTCCCTCAGGAGAAGCAAAATCAGCAAACCTTTTCGGCGTAATTAATTGCCTGCACAGCCAAATGGCAAACCATATGCCACTGTCAATCGGATCACCGATTCCTCAAATCACTACAAGTCTATAAAAGCTTTCGATTGATGTTAATTTCCACGTAAACACATTTCAATCGCCTCATTAATCCAGATCAATTCAATCATCAAAATACAAAAATATATCAGCCAATAAACCATCCACCGCCAACGAAGAACAAACCCTACAATAACGCGAAAACGCAATCACACACCCGAAAGAGCACAAACAGAATAAAAATGATCCAGGAGCAATAAAAAGTCCTCAAAGCACGCACGATTCTTAACGTGATGGTAATCGAAAACACAGATCTGACAAAAACAGCAACGAAATTCAATCAAACGAGCTGGAATTCACACACGTAGCTGGGACAAATTGAACAACGAACCCAATACCGACAACCGAAGATCCCAAATTACACAATCAATTGAAATCCCAAGTTCTTGAAAACAAATGATAATAAAAACAATAAGTTAGCACAAGAAAGAATCATACCCGGCGGAAACTACGAGCGCCTCCTCGAATCGAATCCAATGCAGAGCAGATCTGGAAGAGAGGGAGAAATGGGGTTGATGGGTGTCGAAATCGAGAGAAAAGGGGAGGAAAATGGGGTGCGGTAAAAGCGAAACCGAAAGGATACCCAGCAAAGGAAAGGAAATTCGTCGAGTTGGATTCCAGAGCTGTCTTTTTTCCCTAAATAATTAATCGCCAACGCCAATCCAATTTTAATTATAGAAATAATAAATATATACTCCTACCAATATAATTATGTATTTAAGACTACGCGAGTAAATCTCGGGGGATTTATTTTTTATTTATTTTATTAATAAAAAATTATATTAGTTTTTATAGCATATATAAAATAACAAATATATATGCTCAAAAATCTTGTCATTTCCATATTATATAAAATATACTTTCCCCTTTACAAATCAAAAAGACTTTTTTTTTTTTTTTTTTCCTGAGCTTATTTAATTAATTAAAAAATAATAATATTTTATTAATTAATAGAAATATATAAATTTTTGATATTTTTTATTTTTTAATTTTATGTATAAAATAATTATATATGTAATTATATATTTGTAATTTAAATAGAAATTAAAAGTATTTTAATATTAATGTATAATTATTTTTTTAAAATAAAAAATATATATATTGATGTGGGACACGACTACAATAAAAATAATATTTTAAATTAGAACGGAATGAATATATTAGCATATTTTTCATATTATTATACTTTCGCAATATTTCAATGAAAAAATCAAATAAAAAAATACAATAAAATAAACCTCCCAATGAATAGTTCATTTATTTAATTTTTACTATTTAATAATTTAGTTTCCATTTAAAAATAGTTTATAGTTATTTTAAACGGATAATTTGAAATAAATACACTTTTCTATTTTTGAATTTTACCTTCAGTCCCTATATATATTTGGCTAACACTGCTTCTCTTTTAAAAAAAATTTGGCATTAATTTATTACCTTTATTTTATTTTCATAATTTTCATTTATATTTTTTCTATCTCTTCGTGTCTGGCACATAATTTTTTAGTGTGATAATTTTGTTGATTGATTACGATGGTATTTTTAGGGCTCGCAAGTGATTCCGGTAAGTAATTCACAGTTGCTTTGGTGATTGTTGTTTTGTTCTAGATTATGATTACAGTAGTTACTATGATGATAAGTATATATAGAAAAAACTTTGTGGGTAGCTGTGATGGGAAGACACTGGTAAATGAAAGTTTTGATTACGGTCGTATTATTAGGGTTTGTGATCGATTTATGTAAATATTTCACTATTATTTTTTATAATTCTTGTTTTGTTTGAGATTATGATTACAATGGTTGCTAACTGGGTTTTATTATTATATTTCGTTAAGATAGTATGTATAGAAAAAAAAAACTGTGGGAGAAAGAGAGAGTTCTGTTGCGATTTTCTATTAATATGCATATGCATTATCGGGATATTTTTTCAGGTATAGTATACCTATATTTATTAATCTTATACCCTTATTGTATGATATTGTATGTTATATTTGTTTGAAAATACTCTATTTTTGTTGGTATATACTATAATTATTCATCTATGAACCTTGATATTTATTTCATGTACTTATATATTAGATAATATTAAAATTGTGTTGTTATGCAACAGTATCCGCCAAAAATGATAAAAGTTAGAAATAGTTTTACTAGAGATTAAGGTATGTTTTTCACCCTGATGGTAGAGAATTAAAAAGTTGGAAACAGTTATGCGGTTAATCTGTTTGAGCAATTGCACGGCTATAACTCCCAGAGTGGTCACTTCACTTGCCTTAGAATGTAAAGGCGCAGATCTTTCTCGTTTGTCTGTATTGGCTGGAGGGCATCAGCACAGCTCAAGCGGTGTTGTCATCGTTGGCTGGTAATGGAATAATTTGACCGCTGAGAGATGAACACTTAGTCAAAATTCAGAGCGGTCCAATTTCGCTTCTACAGCAGCGGATGTCTGGTCGCTGCCGCTGGGGCAAGCGGTAAAAGCATCTCTTGCCAAAATGGAGTGTCTTTGCTTGACTTTCAACACTTAACATTTCTGGACCAAAAATATCGCTTAAAAAAAGCCAAAAATGTTAATAATCTCAACCGACGAACTATGGATCATGTCAAGCGAAATAAATCAATAAAGTATGTCATAAATCAGATATTGTGATGATTTTCACCTAAAAATTCAAGTAATACACAGTTTCGTCAAACGAAAAATTAGCTATTATATGGAGTTATCAATCGTACAAGTCCCACTTCGAGGATTGGCAACAATAGTCTGTTCATATCATATTTTACCATCAAGCAACAATTATACAATATGCTAATTGAAACACATATTGTATACCTAGTCATGTAACTTTATTTATAGAATGTTTCCAACAAGAACGAAAGTATATGCAAAAAAAAAATACGCGTACTTTGATGAATAGAAGTAATGAATTCTATGAAGATATATACAAAAAAGAGTAAAATATAAATTAATATAAAAAGTAGAGAGTGCAATATTTTATCATAATATAATATAGAATGACTAAATTTAAATGGATCTTAGCTTAGAAGAATTTAAGTTCCCCTATTTTAAAATCGCTTAGGGTTATGTTTGTTGATGGGGATTTTGTTTTGAAATTTGGATTTTAAACACTAAAATTTTAAATTAAATGTCTTGATATAATATTATAAATATAAAATTAACATTTAATATAATATAATAATAAAAAATAAATATTTAATCTGATTTTTTTAAATAAAAAATATAAATATAAAAACTCAATCCAAAATCTAAAAACACACCCGAGGAGTCTTGAAAAATAGTTAAAATAAATAATTTCTCATCCATTAAAATTAGTTCACTGTGGTCTGCAAGGAGACCAAAAAATTAATATTTTATTGAAAAAGTGATAGATAGTTGATGGTATTTTTGAAAATTTAATTAGAAATGGAAGTAAATGAAGAGAGAAAAAAAAGTAATAAATTTAGTGGTATTTGTTGTAAATAAGTGTCGAATATATGATAATAATTATATATAAATTTGTTAACTTTGCAAAAATTAGTAATGAAATAAATTTAACAGACAGACTAAAAAGAAAAATTATAATAAATTTGGCCGATGAAAAGAATAATTGTTATTTCATATGATTTTTTTAATATTTTATACTATGATAATTTTTATTATATATTTTAACTAAAAATTAAATATTGGTAAAATATATTTTAGAAATATAACAAATATTTAAAAATAAATTTAAATAGAGTTTCTTTAGTATCAAATGTTCATTTATACATAAAATATATATATATATATATTAAATTCATTCATTATTTCAAATTTATAAAATTACAAGAAAAAAAAAGGGTTAGAAAACTGTTTGACTCATAAAATATATATTGAGCAAATGTGTGTTTATTATAATTTCTAACTAAAATTAATATTAATATTAATATTGTGAATTTATTATCGATTTTTTGGATTTATCGAACAATATCTCGTAAATAAAATATACAAATCAATTAGCAGCGGAAACAATTAAATCAAATAAACTTTAATTAATCTAAACCGAAATCGAAATGAAATTATCACTAATCAAACTAAAGGCATAAATCATATTTCTGGAAATTGATTATCAAATCAAACAACAATTGAAAAAACCGAAGCCACCGACGACGGCCTCTCCGACGAACAGTGGCTCCGATCGACTTCCGACGGCTGCTCCTGATTGTCCGGCGACGAGCAGATAGACGATGGGCTTGGACTAGGGAATATAGATTGGGCTTGGATATAGGTAATTGGGTTTGGAAATAAATGATTGGGCCGATTCGATGGGCCAGACTATGGAGTGAACCAACTCGTTGGATTACGCCTCAAACAACCAAAATTCCGAATAATTAATATACAATTTTTAATAAAAGATATATTATTTCATATCATAATACACCACATTAAAATATTATTTTAATAAAAAAAAATCAAATGAATACTATGAAATTATTTTCAAACAAACAGGCTTGTTCACTCTCATTTTTTATCATTTTGAACCCGCCTATAATTTATATAAAATAAATAATCCTTCCGTCCCACATAATTTGTCCATATGTTACATTTTCGTCTGTTCCACATAATTTGTTATTTTTTTTTTGAAAATATAATTATACACTTTAATCACATTTTAAATTTTAAAATTTAAATTTTATTTATTTATTTTAATTAAACTATTTAGTTATCTTAATCTTAATCAATAATTATTTTTATTATATAATAATTATTTTTAGTAATACAATTCTTAATTACTTATTAATTATAAATTACCTAAATTCTTGCATCTTCACTAATGCATCCGAGGGAATAATATTATTTTACTTATTACATATCTATAAATGTGACCATAAATAAATAGTTTGATAATATTTGACATATCTCAATAACTGATTGTGACATCCCGGCCCGTAAGTCACATAAAGACGGGCGCGTTGAGATTATAAACCGGCCACATGTACAGGTCAACACGAGTCATTCGGGTCACACATCTTCAAATTATTTTAAAGTTCTTTCAATAAGATTTCTTAAAAGAAAAAAAAAAAAAAAAAAAGAATGTGCACATTGTTGACATGAGTAATCTATTCAATTCATTTAACATCTAATCAACTTTAAATGACCTAATATTGATTTATCCACACACAGAAGTTGACCAAACAATGGCTCAACTCCGGGTATCACACTAATAGCAAAAATCTTTAAAATCTTTATATACTAGAAACAAACATAAACCATTGCAAAATATTATATTCAATTTTGTTAAGTATTATTGGGTGCGTTCTTTTTGTCAAAAACAAGCTAACGTATTTTTTCTTTAAAAATAATATATTATATGTATTCATTATTTTTATATTATTAATACAATCTCCTATATTTCATATAAAAAAATATTATTTCAAATTATTTCACAAAACAAAAATACCCTTATTATTTAGCACGATTTTTGTTTGTTTGTTTGTGTTTTTTCATATAAAAGCATCATGATATCTAACTAACATGGTTTGTAATAAAAAATACGATATATTTTTAATATTAAAGTGAAATAGATACAAAATAAAATAAGAGTATTATAAAAAATTTATTAAAAAATTAATAAAAAATAATGGAAATAAGTAAATAATAATAATAATAAT